TTTAATCAACTTCGTTTTCAATGCGAAAAATTAGCATTTGCTTTTGCAGCTTGTAGCGATAGTAATTTAATTCGTAATCGAAACTATAAAATATACAGCATTTTGAAAAAATGATTTATTAGCCGACTTTTAAAATTGTTTTTAAATCAAGATACATCGACATATCGATTTTGTTAATTTTAATATCAGATGATAATCACTTTTTTCTATAGTTTTAATTATGAATTAAATTATTATTATAAAAAATTCTTATTTAAAAAGATTGATACTACAAACATATATTATCATTTTTAATACTTTAATTTTAATTTATTGAAAGTGTATAAGTTTATAAGTTTTGCATTATGCCATTCCGCATTTTATAATGCTATTGATGCGATATAATAAAAAATGATTTAGCACGATTAACAGATTATTGAATGTAAGAGTTTCCTTTATACAAGATGTTAATAAGATCTTAATAAGTGCGAAAAATTTTAGGAGATGATTCTTTGTCAAAAATCAAGGGAGGTTTTTCATATAAACCTTAAAAAGTTTTAATAAAAAAATTGAATAGGGATTGCTATTTCATTCTCCTTATAACAATACGAGAGGTTGAAAAAGTATTAATAAATAACATTTTTACTAGTAGAAAATATCCATCTAATTTCATTTTTTTAACTTGTTCCAAATTTGAGAAAAAAATAAAAATGTAGGGGTATATATTTATATGAAAAACCCCTCTTAATTTTCGATAATCATCTCCTAAAATTTTTCGCATTTATTAAGAAACATCCTATATATAATAAGGATGCTTAAGGATTTCGTTTTTTACATATATTAAATATTCTTTAGTATTGATGATGCTATATATAACAAAATAATATCATACTATATATAACAAAATAAAATGCTATAACAAAAAATATATGATAGTATGATAAAGATCTGAATAATTTTCTCGTACTAAAAATTCGAATCTCGATATTAATTTAATTCAATAATTAATTCAATAATTTAATTCAATAATTTTCGTTGCAAAAATTGCTCAAAGTTTTAAAATGTTCGCACTCAAAATGCAGTTTTCGTATAATGCATCTCCTTGAAAATTCTTTTCGAAGAGTTTTTGCCACTCGTCATATATAAAGGACATACCGTTCTCTCATTTCCTCCACGTGCATTCCACGTGTGGTAGCTCTCGGTTTCGGAAGAATGGCGCGCTTCTGTCACAGTGGAATTTTGTTTCACGATTTACCGTTGCACGTGCATAAAGCGTCAGGGAAGAATCCTGTGAGGAAGCTCTGAAAGATTTCGCGCGATATTGCGGACACGTGAGATGTAACCATACCCGCTGCTGAGGTAAATAACGCGCCCGAGGTACTCGTCGCGAGGTCGCTCTCTGTCAATGCTAACGGTATATGTATTTTTTTAGGTATGCCTGTATGCGTCCGAAAAAAGCGGATACAGGTATGACCAGCCACATTTATAGAATCGGATATACGCGCCGCGACGATATTCAAATCGTCCGATGGAGCGTGCACCTTCATTGACGTTCGCATATAAAGCGAGCAAAAAGGACAGACAGCCGGTCGCGCATCCTCAGATCCTCTTCGTCATCATTCAACGCATTCGGCATATGCTTTCTCTCTCTTTCCTTCCTTTGATGACTGATTAAATGATTGATCGTTGCCAGAGAAACGATTATATACTCGGTCGGACAGATTCATCGACCACGAGTGGGCATAATAAGTCGTGACGAATTAATATTTCGTGTTTGCTGTCGAGAGCAGAAGAAATCGACAATCTATGATACATGCGAATGAGACAAGGCTTTGAGAGCCTCGAAAGAAAGCGGAAGAGATTTAGAAAGAAGCATGATATAATTGATGACAACGACTGAAAGAATTGTATAGAGATAGTATAGTGCTGTGTATAACGTTCTTTTAATTCGTCAATGGCAAATATTTTCTTTCTTCTCATGCAAAAAGATTCTCGGAATCTTCTTTTTTATATACCTTTCTTTAAAGGCTGAACATCTTGAAATGTACGTATTTTTTTTAAATAGAAAGTTTCAAAATTCATAAAAGCTGAATATTTCTGAAAGCATTTATTAGTTTGACAAATAGAGAAAGTATTTTGACTAGTGATAAATATGATGATTATACGTGAAAAATATATTGCATTGTTGTACACTGTTTTTGAATAGATAATTTTAATGTCATCCAAATCTATTAATGTTTATTCTGAAATAAAATAAATTTTCTCAAGAACAACAAAAAGAACTCAGAATATCTAACTATTAATCTAATGATAATAATAATAAAATAATGGATATAATAATATAAAATAATATATAATAGTAATAATATAATAATATAATATAATAATAATATAATAATAATAATAAAATAATATATAATAATAATAATATTAATAATAATAATAATAAAAGTAATAAAAATGAATCGAAAAAACGCATTAAGCTAAGTTACCTAGTTTAATTATCTAAATTTATATTGATATTTATCCATATTGAATGAAGAAGGAGAAGTATACATATTTAGTACGTGATATTCGCAAAAATTCACCCGTGCTTCCGGCAGGATCACATTCGCTGAAATCGCACGGCTTCCGAAACGAATGAATTATCTTTCCCATCTGTTTCGGTTTCCTTACATTTCTATATCCTTGTCTCGAGAGCTTTTGCGAATGTTTTTGTGTAGCCTTTAATATGCGCAACGAAATCTCAATTCGCCGCCTTTGGCATTAATGAAGATCTCTTCGTGTGAGGTGGCTACTTTTTTCCCTATAATTCTCCGAATTCTCATAAAATTCCTCTTCGCATAAAACATTTACAATTCCCGCAGGATTGAACAGTAATCGCATATAATGATTTATTATAATAATATTTTGAATGATTAAAATAATGATATAAATTTTCTCAAAAATAAGTAATTTTTCTCAAGTTTCTTATAAAGCTCTCGATCGATATCGATGATCGATTATGTCTAGAATTATGCCAAGCCTGTTCTAGCAATATAATCTCGACGTGACATGTGGTGAAAGTGTGCGAAAAGGGGAAACGGTGTCGGTGTAAAAATACGCATACGTGGCGAGATTCTAAACAATACCGATGGGAAAAGGAACGAAAGAAAACGAGAGAGGCGAGAAAGACTACGCTAAATTCCCTATTACACCTAGTTGCACGTTCAAGAGAATGTCGATAACAACTATCTCATCTGAACATCAAACTATGAAAATTACATGCGAAAGAGAAATGCTGCAACGATAATGAACAATGTCTAACGGCATTTATTTTAAAATTAGGAGTGTCCATAATGCATGTATAAGTACTTGAAGTAAATATCCTTAAAAAATATTACAAATTTGATATTTCTCTCTCGAAAAGATTGAGACAATCATCTTTTAATTTTTATTGTCTGTAAAATAAAATGCAATTTTCTTACTAATATCAAAAATTACATTATATGTAAATTATTATGTCAAAAAATGAAATTTATTTCACAAATCTTGCTGTATTCTATTTACACATTTCTCTCAAACTTTCTCCAAATTTCATTTCTAGTGCTTAACATTATTTCGTCACAAGTTGCTTTTTAATTTATACTGAAATAGCGTTTAATATCGAGGCGAAATATATCGCGAAATAACTGCACATCCTCGAGAAACGTCATCTTGTGATTTTACGAGAAGGCAGTGGGGGCGAATTTCGCCAGCGGCGATGTTTTGCGGTAACTGCGAATTAATTCAGAACATGTTTAAGAGCCATCAACGACCGCCTACTTGTGCACATTTTCTTGAGCGCAGTAACTACCTGCCACGTTATGATAATTAGGAAACGAATCGGCCATTCATAGCGAGCGATCATCAGTCAGGATAATCAAGTGTCATCGATGAATTTTGACAGACCTAATGTCATAGAATACACGATGGTTGATTTGTTATTAAAGCTACAAAATTTGTCCGCGTACAAAAAGTATTCATAATAATCTTGCGAAATATGATCTTGTGAAATGAATAATTCGCGTAACAACTTTTTTGTGGGTCGTATGAATAAATTATATATATGCATGTATTATATAAATTCTATTTTTTTTTGTATTTTGATATTATGACTATTTCGAGACCAACGATGTAGTATGAATTATTCAAGTTATTATAGGAAATGCGTTGTGAGAAATTGCGCGACAAATATATTATAAATGATAAATATTATTGATTTATTATTGAAAATATTTAACGTCGACGAGATATTAAAATTGATATATTTTTATTTTTCTGATAATGAATTTTATACAAAGTAAATAAAAATATATGATATAGTTAGCAATCAGTTAAATATCGATTACTAAAATATTGAATAATTTTTAATTTTTATTCTCATCAAACAGTATATTATTGATAATGCAGATATTTATACTTTACGTTACTACCGATTGTGATATAAATCTGCTGAAACATTCCAATAGATACGTTTGCAACTCGAATCGAGTTCTATGAATAATCATTAGCTAAACACAGGAATATAACCATATACATCAAATGACACATTGACAATTTACATAACGCACATAAATGCCAGAAAGAGGGACAATTATCGCGTTCGTTGTAGCGAGAAGAGACAAATCGCAGAGTGCATTTCCGAAACCGTGCTCGACGTTTCTTTTTTATTTCCGTGTTCGGCGGTGATCAGAGAGATGATTGCATGCGCTGTCTAGCGTAAAATCGATATTAAGAAAAGTCGCGTGACTTCATCGCGACGCTTCCTTTTCCTGCTTTCGTAATGCCTTTGGAAATGCCGCTTCTCGAGCAGGCGATTTAGCGAAAATTATCGAAGAGTTATGCAAAAGTTGCCTATGCAATTGCGGAAAGTCGAGCGATTCTATTCCCTGTACTTTATTACGTCGTAAAAAGATTTCCCAAGAGAAGTGGATATGTAACGCATCGACTTGTCATGTTTTTTTCTATGATATCGTAATTTTTATATTTTATTTGCGCAGGTGCAGAGGCTTGCCGACTACGAGAGGTACTTGGGACAGGAAGCGAGGACTTTGATAGATAACGAATGCATTGACAGCGGGACAGTTTTGCACCGTGGTCAATTAGAGGGTGATCTTCATCGTATCCAGGAATTGTTTCCCGGCGATAACTTGCGATTACACGAGCGAGATGTCGTCACCATGGTATATGATCTTTTTATTATAATACAAAAATTTGATTTTTATTTTTATTTTCCGTTTTTTATTCCGAATTTTAATCATATTAAGTTTTCTACTCCAATTTTAACCATATTAGTCGCACAATAATTACTATGCATATTTCTATATCCAGGTAGAACATGAAACTCATAATGACATCATTATGACATCATCATGATTTTATTTATCACTTAAAAATTACCTAAACAAAAATGATTAAAAAATGAGTTAAAGATGACAAAAAAAATAATAAATTTTTAAGTTCAATAATCGCATTATATAATTTTAAAATGATTATGTTGCTTAAATATAATTAAAATATACATGAATAATTAAATAAACAAGTAATTGCGTAATATATATAAAAAATGATATTATTATTGATTCTTAAGATTTCATACGCGAAGTATATATATATTCTCCAACAGAATTCGCTAGAATTGTTTAATATCAAAAATAAATCACCAAAACATTGCCAAAAGTATATCAAATGAGTATATCAAATAACCAAAAGTATATCAAATTATTATGATATCATTAATTTTCTAAAATGACTTTTAGGTGACTTTTAGGTGACTTTTAGGTGACTTTTAGGACGTCATAATGATATCATTATGAGTTTCATGTTCTACCTGGGTAGAAAATTCCCAAATAAGTATAAGTGTAATAAAATATATATTTTTAAGAATTGAAAGAAATAACCACAAGGTTCAGTTATAATAATTTTCCAATTTAAATTTATTTTTCATATTATTTAATTACAAGCTCGTGTGTAACGAAAGTAATTGTTTAAATGAAATACATCTAGAGAGATTGTATTATTCCTATCTATATGAAATTCACACAGTTAAAAATATATATAAATTGACATAATATTCCAATCCTGTTAATTTTTATCGAAGAAAGACGAGTAGTTTCGTAGAAGATAATAAAAATTATCATCTTTCTACAAGGTGTATAATCTACAAGGCAGTCTAATCTTCTCCGTAGAAGTTATGAACAAGGCAGCGACAGCTAACAAACGGTATTACGCACAATACGTCGCGATTCAACCTTTCTCACGATCGTTTAGATGCATCTAGTTTTTCTGCGTCCGTGGAAAGTGCATCGTCTCGCGTGTCGCTAACATGGCAGTTAGAATGCGTATATACGCACTTCCTTCCCACGTTTGTTAGCAGCGTATATCATCATCCGGATGCACAAGCATGCCGATATTTTCTCCGCGCTATTCTCACTCGACCGGTGAAATTGACGCGGATCGTTCAATAGAATACTCGCTTTCTGCACCCGCGAAAAAATAGAAACTGTGTCATCGCGAGAGAGGCTGGAAGCGCCGGTTAGATCAACAATAGGATGATATTTATATTATTATGTAGAAAGCGCGTCGTACTCTTTTCATATCATAATTGGATGCAACGAAAGTTTATACTGTAAAAAATAAAAATAAAAACATTTCTTATAGATAAGATTTTTATTAGGGAAAAAGTTTAAGAAACTTTATTTTTACATTTGATCAATAATTTATATGAGAGAAAGAGAGAGAGAGAAAGAGAGAATTTTTTTTCCACATCTGGATGCATGAAATATTTCTTCAGTTGTATATAATATAAATAGAGGATTAGAGATATTTTAATATACATATATATATATATATATATATTTATTATTTTTATTATTTATTATTTATTATTTATTAATTAATTAATTAATTAATATTATATTTATTAAATTATTAAGTAATATTATATTCACATTATAAATATATAATGTCTACAATTATTTATGATGTTTATGCATTTTTATATTCACGCATCTACAATTTTACATTTACAATTTTACTCCTATTTAAAAAATTATCTGATACCCATTTAAAAAAATATCATTCGAAACTCCCAAAACTCTTGGACGATGCTTTCTAATGTAATGACACAATAATAGCGAATAATCTATCTGACGCGTTGGATATGTTAAGACATGCCGTGTCTAGTTTAGGTTTAACGTGTTATAATAACGCAATACAATGAGACGTGAAGGTGGGTGATCGCCAGCGGGATCACACCAGAAATGATTTCGTAATCGAAAAGAATGAAACGAAGAATAGAGGATGTTGAGACAGACGTAGAAAATTTAATAAGGCATATGTTAATCAGCTTGCTCTATCTGCCGTGAGAACACTCGTGCTTTCGTCTTTAATACATCTTGAAGAGAGAAAGAGATAATCGCTTGTCCACCAAATTTGGTAGTGACATTTTTCGGGCGTAACTGTTAATCCTCTGCACGTGTAACGTGTGGCATATATACATGACGTGATTAAATGTGACAGCAAAATTAGTCTAAGCCCTGCGAAATACTCTAGTCGAGTCGTTACAGGAAGTCTTAAGATCCTAGAGATGATCTTCTCGAGTCGAGATTTCGTTATTCAAATAGTACATTTCACTTTTGAAAGTCGCTTTTTTCTCTCTTTTATTTTCGTAAATTTTTTTATATAGTATTATGTATCTTTCTTTGTGATAAAAATACATTAAAAATGTATTTTAATGTCAATATATTATGTTAAAGTTTTAAGTCCTTTCCGAAAATAATTAATCTTGTTATTAGTCGTGGGAATTTTAATCTAACTTTGTTATTATTATTTTTAGAAAATGAAGAACATATTACGTAAAAGGAATAGCGGTACTCCAGCTAGATTAACGAGAGGACTCTCTCAGAAGACTCTGGATATTCCGGATAATTCCCCATCTCCAAAATCGCCAACTCGAACTTTTCTCTTGGAGACACCAGTCCAATTTACCACGGTACGTGGAAAAGATTTTTTTTTCATTACTTATAAATTGAAAGATATAGGTTTTCGTGACTTTCAGAGAACTGTTAAAAACTATTAAAACTATTAATCTATTAAGAACTATTAAAACTATTAACTATTAGAACTATTAAAAAAACAGAAATAATCTTTTATCAAAATTTTTAACAAAGATGAATAAATTTTCTTTTTATATAAAGATCAAGATCTTTTATATAAAGATAAAGATCAAGATCTTGTCCAAGTCAAGAGATAAATCTCAAAATTCATTATAAATTTAGGGCATGCAATCTCAGGAGAGGCATCTCTTTCTCTTCACTGATCTTCTGCTGATCGCGAAAGCACGCAGCGGTGGAAACTTCAAGTTGAAGCAGACCGTGAGGATGAGCGAGCTCTGGCTCACATCGGGTCACATAGAGGACGTGGCAGAAACCAGCAAATCCGCGGAAACTAGCTTCGTTCTCGGCTGGCCCACCACAAATGTCGTGGCCACTTTCATGTGAGCACAAGCACTTTCATTTTATTTTTGAAAACTACGATAATCCAAATGACGAAGACATCAAATGATACACTGAGAAAAAATCTGGTTGCATTAATTAGAATTATGGTAGGTAGATTCAACCAGTATGTCTGTTGGAAAATGGACGAACCAAAATTCTTGTAGGAATTACCAGATGAATCTGATTAATTTCTTCCTGTTAAATTTTCTGGTTAATAATAAGTCGTCAGCACCAAGTCGTCTAAAATTTTTTCCATCTAATCTCAAAAGTCTGTTTAATATTCTGAATTCCAACACGATTATTGCATAAATTCAATCCAGATTATTGAATAAATTATTTTAAGTTCAGTTTGTTAGAAATTAAACTGATAAACAGTGATACAAGAAGAGGATGCAGCTCAAATATACACAATCAGAGAGCTAGCGTCCTCTTTCTACTACTGCTCGTAAGAGAAAAAAAATATATAATACTTTGGATTTAATGTTAATACTAGTTCTTTATATACATTTCATGGTAAATATTTAATACGAGTAAAGTTTAAAGTGGCTCGCCGTCTAGCAGCAAGCAAAGAAGTGAATGCAACAAGAAATTTTATAGATTCAACCAGAAAATACTAAGCAAATCCTTATAGTAAAATCTATTAAACGTTCTAGTTATAAAAAATCGAGTCTTATCATGATAACTAGAAATTCTTGTTTGATTTAATCAAATACCTTCAATCATATACGTCTTGTTGATACAATCAAACGATTTTTCTCAGTGTAGAAACTTAGACTCGCCTTTTATCACGGTTTAATTTCTTCTTTTAGGACCGCTGCGGCGCGAGATCTTTGGTGGGGACGTCTAAACGATCTCGTACGAGAGGAGAGTATGAAGGAACCGCCACATACAAATATTCAAATCGTATACCACGACAATGACACGAACAGCGACTACGTAAGTGCGCTTGCCTTTTCAGACTCGTCTTCGCACGGTCCATTCTTCGCGCATCTTCGAATCCGCGGGAATGAATCGTTTGCCCTCTATTTTTCTCCGAGAGAGTTGTCTTTTATTACCTTGGTTGTCAGAGTCGAGTTTGAGTCGCCAACTATCCGCTATCGGGCCGTGCATTGTCCTGGCGTTGCTTCAGTCACCATTCATAATTCATTGATATTGTATAGATATAAGCCGCTAGGATCGCAATTGAATTTCCGTTAGATAAACCATGTCTATCGCCCGGTAAACAAGTTTCAACCATAGCATGCCGTATTATTCATCTCTTTGTAGTCTCTCTGTGTCAGCAAGAAAAGAATACATACGTATGTACTATTTTACGCTTTACAGTATAAAACGATCATGGTTGGCTCCGAGATGACGGCCCAGACCTGTGTGAATATGGCGGTGCCGTTGTGGGATCTTCAAGGACCCTTCCAGTTGTGGGCCCGAACGTTCCCGGACGAGACGCCGTATCCATTGATAGGACACGAGCGACCATTCGCCGTGAAAATGTCGCGTCTACGACACATGCTATCGGCGGATGAGGGTTTCGATCTAGAACATATCAACAACAGCGGCCTTGATCTGTGTCATTTTGTCCTTAGACCCGTGATGAAAACGCCCGCGAAGAAAAACAACCGATCGAAAATAACCGGTCTGTTACGGCGTTCGCTGTCGTTGAATCCCAGTCTTTTTGGCGTGAATTTGTCACGGCTGGATGAAAATGGCTTGCCCAAGCCTGTTCTGGTGATGCTGCAGCAGCTGTTCGCAAAGGGCCCGTTCACGCAGGGAATATTCCGCAAGTCCGCGAACGTTCGAATTGTTCGAGAGTTGCGAGATCAAATCGAATCTACGGGAGATCTCAGTTGTCTAGAAGACGCGCCAATCATAGCTGTAGCTGCTTTGCTGAAGGAGTTTTTAAGATCTCTACCAGATCCTCTCTTGACTTCTCACTTGTTTCCTCTCTGGATGGATAGCTTGGATACGCCAAATCCCGTTCAAACCATGAAAAGGTATTACATAAAAGCCATTAATAAAACATTTATTTAAATATATCGATTTTTTGAAAAATAGAAGAATAAAATTTAAAAAATTTTCAGCATTCTGGATAGGCTTCCGAAGGCGAATTATACGTTACTTTCGCATTTAATCTGCGTGCTACATCATGTGGCAAGACGATCGAAACGTAATCTCATGTGCGCCAGCAATCTTGGCGTCTGTTGTGGCCCGAGTTTACTTTGGTCATCAAATCCGTCAGTGAATCAGAGTAGAGCGATTCCAACAATCACCGAAATGTTGATCCGTCATTGCGAGGATTTGTTCGGTGCTGGCGTTACGCAACTCCTTGGAGAAGACACACGTAGTGATAGCGGAGCCGAGGAAAGCACCGATAGTCTTCACTGTAAGTCTATTATAACATCACTATTATAATGTCAGATATAATAATTATAAATTTAGAGAATATTAAAATGTGAATATTAAAATGTGAATATTAAAAATTATAAATATTTTATATTGAATTACTTTCACATATTCAATTAAAATTTATTTCAATAAATACATGATATCTTTTCGCATTATTAACAAATTTTTTTATGTAGCAGGTGGGATATCCTTGGATAGTCTAGATCTGACGGAGGCACCACGTAGAGATCCCATGTCCCTGTCAAGAGACTCAGGCTTAACCTTGTCAGACTGCCAATTATTTATTCCGGAATCGCCCGTAGGTTCGGAAGATTCCGCTCCGAACGCTTCATCGTCTAGTAATTACGATAAACCTCTCGCGAAGGAAGAAAAGTCCAATAACAAATCCTATGTTCCGGTGTATAGATGCGGATGGGAAGAAAGGCTCAATGGTTACGCGTCCAGTAGTCATAATCATACGAATAGCACGGAGCATAACTTTCGAGAGGAAAAGGCTAATGCGTGTTACTCCAATCCACCCCAATCCAATTTTCAGCGACAGGATTGGCTACGAGCACAGCTCAAGAGAACACCAAGAACAAACAAATTGGATGAGCATGAGCACCGAAAAGAAAGATTCAGCGATAAAGATATATACGATAGGGAGTATCTCAGACAAGACGCGATGAAGGAGAACGTGGAGAATTGCAAGACTTATCGTAGTAGGCAGTTGAATGTAACGTATGATATATTACCGGAAGATTACGACAGCAAGAGCTCGCAGCAAGATATTCGAAGCGCCGAACGAGTGTCGATTCACGACTCAGAACAGGATCTGACAAGGGGCAGCGATACGCTCCGGTCAGACAACGATCGTTATGAATTTAAGAAGAAAGAGTGCTTCAACGAGTTTAAGAAAGTCAAATCCTCCGAGGTCCAGTACGTAAGTCTGGAATCACCGATGGCGGAGAAAGAACGTCGTCGCCAAGTCCGTGATTGCGAACTATACGAAGACTATGTAAGAACGAAAGCGATATACATAGAAGCGCTGAAATACTGCAAAAGTAAAGAAACGAACGGTGAGTCGGACGGCAAGATTAATTATTGCGAAGACAGAAGTCGATCGAGCGAAGTTTATGTAACCGCGGATACAAACGATTCATACAAAAGTGTGATAATCGACAACCTCAGCGAAGACGAGCAGGAGGAAAGGACGTCATGGCCGGACACACCGCCACCTTTACCACCGAGGCTCAGACATTTACCGCCGGTGCATATGAATCTCGAGGATAGGCACAAAGTGGCCGGTAGGTCCAGGTCTCTGCCGCCACCACCTCCCTATCGACCACCGCCACAACCTCGCGCTCCCATCACCACGAGGCATCTGGGCTTCGCTAGATCCGTCGTTGATGATGAGAGCTATGTTTGAGTACAGAAAACGGATCTGTGCTACCTCACAGGCCTCATTGACCCCTGTCTATTATCATTTATCATTGAACATATGTAATGTCTAAGTCGTAGATCTGCTCTACGACGACTGAACCTAGTCCAAAACCGAAACACATACATGCGTAGTATCAAGAACAATGAAGAAGCCGTGGTGTTTGAAAGCGCATCTTCACGGTTTTTTTATAAGAGTGACGAGTACTTCGTCCTTCTTTGATCAAACTTAGAAATAACGAGAACGATAATGAACGAAATAAATTTTACATGTGAGACGGTCAAAGTGGAATTCGCTGTTTTTGTGCCGCCGACAATAGATCTTGGTCCGTATTCTCGTCACTTTCAGCATTATTTTTATTCGATATTCATCTTTGCTAAAAAAATCAATTTTTGTATAAAAACAAAAAATATTTCAATTTAAACGATCATATTCACACTCATATACACACATGCATACAATTAAAGCGAGGATCCGGACCTATTATTCAGTGATTCAGGGTGCTTCCACGAAAATGTTAGTACATACTGTATTAATATTTGCGTATTTAAGTAGCTAACTAACGTAGATTAAATAATGAACAATATTAGCGTCAAGATGATAATATGAGTAATTTTTTCTTCTTACATAAATATAATCCTTGTAAAAAGTATCATTAAAAAGATTTCCTACAAATGTATCAAGAAAGTTTTGTGGAAACACAATTTGACGTTGTCTTATTAATAATATATTAATAAATACAACAGTCGATAAATATGTAACATTTTTTTTGTAATATGTTTTATAATGTCTTAACCAGCAGAGAATCTTTTATTCTTGTAAAAATTGATTTTAACAGATGTATTTTCTAAATCTAATGTACTTTCTTATCGATATTATCGATATGTGACATGTTTATATATTTTAAGTTCGTAAAAAGTTGAAGGAGCAGTTGCGGAAACAGTTACAATGATAAAATTCCATATAAAAACTCGAGAAAATAAATTTATAAAAAGATTTGTCAAATCTTTTACTCGTGTAACTGATATTAATTTGAAAGCTTTTTAAATTTATGAGAATCGTATATTTTTCGGCGCTCTGTCTCTTTTTTTCTTTTTTTTAACTGATCTAAGCATTATGTTTTTAGCTGTGTTTTAACAAAATGTTATTTTAATGGAATTACCATTTTTCAAGATGTTTTCTTCCACGTATGTGTTCACAAAATCTGTTATTGCGTTTACCTCGAGCAAAAACGATTCTTCTCTATAAGCATTAATGATAATAAATAATAATAATAACAATATATTTCGTTTCTGACAATCGTAATATGATTTGCAAATATAAGCCATTGTGCGTGTATAGTGCGATTATGTTTTTAGCAGATACAAGAAACAGTGGAGTGTTATTTTATGATTAGCCTTCTCGTTTTTTGTATATATTAAATTGTAAAACTGTCATTTCTTTTATATCATTAAACTTATGATACAATATGTAACACCCATGAGGTATGTATACCTGTCTAAATTATATATGTTATACTATAAAAAAAGCAAATATATATATATATATTTCGTATTTTATATATTCACAAACTTTTTCAATACACATCCCATTTCTTTTCATTATTCAGAATTTTAATTTTTCCAGAGAAATTATATTTAATTAATTTTATAAAAAAAAACATTAAATATCTGAGAATTAATACTAAATACTTATTAAAAGAAATTGTAATGTATTAATATGTATATATTTTTAATAAGATAAATTTTATAATATATTTGTGATTTTAAGATTTAAGAAGTTTTTAATCCAAAATTTGAATTTAAATTGCAATGAAGTTATCCACTATTGAAAAGATTAATTCACAATTTTTAGAGATACATGTACAAAATATATATTCATAAATAAAAATATAAGTTTTTTATATTTAATATTTAGTATTTATATTTTTTATATTTAATTTAATAACTTATATACTTCTTATACGATCTTATCAATAATTGCCCATTATTTACTGGACGTAAATTGAAAAATCATTCATATATGTATTCTTTCATTCATTATATTAAAGAATCATTCATATATTTTCATTCATGTATGACGTAACAAAACAACGGTATTACTATGTTTAGGTTTGTTTTTTATTCCTGCACTGCTGCACTAGTGCAATTAGTTAGAGTGAAAGAAAGTATGTTTGTCTCTTTCTAACTTATTGCACTAGTGCAGCAGTGCAGGAATAAAAAACAGACCCTTTGTATCAGCTGATGGTATTTGTGATGTTTCCATCTTCACTCTTGTTTGAATGCTTCTAAAAACAGTAACAATGAACAATATGCCGCAAATGTTAAGCAAACTAGTCAATACAATGTATTACTTTAGATGCAATAAATTTGTACCAACTTTCTCGGTAATAAGAAATATAGGTAATTATCATGTTATATACTTTTTATTTGAGAGATCTTATTATTTTTAGGTTAGATTTTTGTTGTCATATAAATGTTGTCATATATAATTTAATAAATATAATTTAAAAAATTGATTAATTATTAATATACGGTACTGTACGAATGTATAAAATAATCTGATATTTGTAGCTACTGTGAAACGATTTTATAGAAGAACGAATATACTTTCGAGTGGCGACAAATTTGAGATTACATTGGATCAGAGGAAGTTGAAGACACCGCAGGGTAGGGTATTTGAAGTAAACAGCAAACCTCTAGCTTTAGCAGTGGCTGCTGAATGGGATGCGCAGAAGGAGACTATCGACAGAGGAAGTATGCATTTGGTACGAAATCAGTACAATTATGCATAAGAAATTAATTTACTATTTATCAACTATTTTAACTTGTAATTTCATATTTAATATGTAATGTGAATGCAATACAAGATTTTGTGAACATATTTTATGGAAAAGAAAACTCAAAAAAATGATGAATATATTTGATCTAAAAAATATATTTGTCAAAAATAATTTTGAATTTAGTGTGACATTTATGTAAAAGACATTGAATATTAATTTATTTATGTGACTATATTTAATATTATGTAAAACCTTATATTCTTAAGTAACAGATATTTTTGATTCCCAATTCTGTCGATATATATATATTTTATTTATTTTTCAAATATATGTGTTATACATGTATTTGCAGACATCTTTGTGCAATACTGTATTGGACAACCCACATAATTATACTAAGATAGATTTGGTCAATCATATAGTGAACTCTTTAGAAATGGATACAATTTTATTTCATTCAAGTGTAAGAAAGTGTTTGTACAAATCTTCATGCCTCTTCTTTACGTATAATAACGACATTTCAGTTATAATTTTTTTGTAATTTTAGGAAGTGGATGAATTATATCAGTTACAAGTTGAAAAGTGGGAGCCTATAGTTCAATGGTTTTGTAAATATTACGATGTAGATATTGCAAGAACTCAGAGTATAGAAATGCCTACTATATCTGTAGAAACCAAAGCTGCTTTAACGAGGCATTTATTGTCCTATAATTTTAACAGTATTTATGGTATGTGCAATTTTGTAAAGAGAAATGAGAGTATCCTTTATTCATATATTAACTATTATCTGCACATAGGTCTTGTATATGCAGTGGATGGATTGAAATCGGTTATTCTGACCCTTGCAACAGCTGCAAGAGTAATTAACGTCTTGGAAGCTGTAAATCTTTCACGACTAGAAGAAGAATATCAGGTATAGATATAGAACACTTTGATTTTATTTATGATAAAAATGCCAATAGAAATTGCTCCTGTTATTAATTATTACATTTTATATGTCATCTTATATATTCCTTATATATTTGCACAGATCTCTCACTGGGGTAATGTGGAATGGCATCATGAGTATAGCAGACACGATTTACAGGCGCGTCTATCGGCGGCAATGTTATTTGTATACTTGAACTCTCATTCCGCTAGTTCACGACTCAAACACGACGTCCCTAATGTAAGCTAGTCCTACTTTGATTATTAAAGAACCATTACGTCAATAGATATAAAATTTATAAGAACAACCTGTTTACTGTAATATAACATTGTCTATAACATCGATTCCGATCAAATTACTCCCTTAATGCTAATTAATTAGAGCTGGGAGAAATCTTTTATACGCGTCCAGAGGATTATTTTTCGATGAATCAGACAGGAATGGAACAATCAGGTCCAACCCATTCTTTTGTACAAATACAGCTGAAACATTGATGAACAATTACATAATGTTATGTTATATGAATAACTTTTATATAGATTGTTCCAAATCTTGCTTTCTTTTTCACGTAAGAATAGAATTTGATTTTTTGTACATTACCTATACGATGCTCCATGATGCAAACACACCGCACCGTTTTTGCACGAGTGGCGAATGCATTCGTTGCGATTGCATTCGCCAACGCCGCGGCCGGTGGCAGGACTGGAACCGGTCAATGGAAGAATTGAAGTATCTGTGCGTAATTCGACGTCGAATATGCATCCGGAAAAGCCGGTATGAAGAGGTAGATCGTGCGGTAACGTCTCAAAGTTTTTCGACTTGTACCCACCTATGAGAAAATATTTTTTTTATTTATCTTTATCTATTTAATTATGTAAAACGCTAAATATTGTCTCATTTCGACTTTATATTTGTCTCTGATGTTATTTTTAGCGTTTCAATATCAGTTACAAGTGATGAGAATTTAACTGCTTCATGTTGCATATAAAATATGCGATGAAAAACGAGCCTGGCTCTATTGGCACGATGCTAAATGTCAAACTGTTTTTCTCTGCAACAACGTACCAATATAGAGAACGGGTGATACATCGAGTTGAGTCATCGATCCTACCGCCTGGCCGGTCACGTTGCTGAGACCCTCTACCGCAAGCCATGCTTCTTTGCCTCTCCTTCCAATCCTGAGAGTATATGTTTTACTTTTACCAGCCGATCCTGCCACGGTTAGTGAACTCAACGAATCGCTGGTGAAGATTCTTCGCACTCCTATTGAGAAAGATTAGAATGCAAGAGTATAGTTCAAGTAATTATATTATTATAGAATCTCTAGAATATTTTATTAATTGTAACCAATTACAATTTTCTTCTGCGAGAGAAGAAGGTTTTATTCTATATATCAAAAAGAAAAATTGTCCATATATATGGTGTCATTATATACATTTTCTAAATATCAAATTATAACTAAAATCTACAATTATAAGATCATTATATGTATATAAAATATAGATAGCTTCGAATATGTAGAAGAGATTGGATTTTAGGAATTTATTACTCACCGGAGCCTAAATCCCACGTAAGCATAATATAGCCGCGCACGAATGTTATCGAGAGGTGGTCCGAAACATCGCGACGCGAACCTCTCTGTCCGATGTAAGCTATCAGGGAGATTTGATCGAATGTACGCGGGATGAGTCGCAGCTTCAGCTCCATTGTGTCTTTTATCGAAGTCGACACGCCGTAGGCAATGTACGACGCGAAACCGGGGACGAGAACCGAGAAGGCTGGCCGCACTAGGATAGCATCTGGGAGAGAGCAAATTTATCCCACGTAACTTGATATTGTATTGCAATCTTATTGCATCGCTAACGTTTTGCGGAATGTTTATTGAAGATTCCGTTAGCTTATTATATATGTATGATTTACCTTCTTCGCAGAAAAGCCCGTGGCTGCCGAGCGGACAAACGCAAATGAAACCGGTTCCTGGCGAGCTTACGCACGTCGCACCCATCGAACAAGGATTGTCATTGCACGCCGAATGTTCGCATAAAGGGCCAGTGTATCTAGAAATGAGTTTCGATGTTTATCAGTGCGCTTTTAAAACCCTATTACATTTGAAGATCAAAGTTATATAAAATTCAAAAGTTAAAAATTGATATCAAAATTTTTTCTGATTTGTAATCCTATTTTTCTTATATATTATTATTTCTTTTTATTAGACATATACATAAATACATTATAATATATTAAAGAGGCAAAAAATTATTCATATATTATATTTAGATTTTATATATAGATAATGAATATTTACCCAGCTATACATTTGCAACGAATTCGACCCTCGTTTTCTTCACACGCACCGAAATTCTGACACGGATTCGACAAGCACAAGAACGATGTGCACTCTTCGATCTGAAATGTTTCTGTCGAATCGTGAATAAAATGTCGTGAAATATTATTTACCTGCAATGCAATTCTTATTAGCCTCTGCGCAATCATCCTATATAAAGGTAAAGTTTCTGTGACAACTTGATACAAAACACGAATATTGAATTTAACTCTGAACAATATTTTACTTTCAGGGAATCCATGCAACCAATAAATCCCATAACTACGTGACGAAAATAATGCGAAAACGTTAATGGAATGCCTCCTATGTATAAATTGGCATATTTTGGGACCATTCCCCGTTGTGGCAGTATTTGTTCACCGGTTACGGCCATAGTGCCATTAACCAGCAATTTGGCAAAACATTTTTCGTTTTTATCATTGGCAACATATTGAAAGCTAAAATGAGAATATATTTTTATATATAATTTGCATATAAAAATTTTAGATATAAAAATTAATATTTAAAATTAATGGGACCAATTCTATAATTTGCGAGCGTCAACCTCATATCAATGCCCACTTCGAATCCGTTATCGATAATGGCATCGATTTCACCGAGCAACATAGTTTCCAAACCGCAAGAAAACTGAAACTTCAATGATCCAAGTTCCAAGTACACTAAAGAATATCTCTCGTTGTCGAAGTAAACGTGCAATATTATTCCATTCTTAAATGCCGTTCTGAGCTTAACGTAAATTCGGAGCGTTGCGCTCTTATTGTCGGAGATTATTACTTCGACGCGTTGTCTGACAAAAGATTTGCCGTTGAAAGCCGCTTGCGTAATGGTCGAATCTGTCTTGCAGCCGTCAGCATACTGAATAATAATTATAATGTAGATATGTTAAAAAAATCACTCTTGGGATTCGCATCCTTTTATTTCGAAACAAATTGATTTCAAAGTCTATATTTAAATTTTTAACAAATCGTTGAATTTATTAATGATTGTTATATATAAACTTGCTTACCTCGGTAACATTACGCGAAGTTAACGTGGTGGTACTTGTGGAACATTGATTCCCGCGGCAAGCGCTAATTTCTGTAGTGCTCATCTCAATACTAGTAGTTTGACTTAATGAAGATACGCTGGTGGATGTTAATGGAGAAGATACCGTGGGAGTCTCGAATTTGACAGTCGAAGATAATACTGATGGCAGTGTCGACGAGGTAGTTAAAGGTAGAACAGTTTCAGATTCTACAACCGTAGTTCCGAGATCGAAGGTTCTGTTCTGTAACGATTCCGTCGTATATTGGAATGTCGTATTGATGGGGAGTGTTACATTGATACCGTGATCCATGACAGCAATGGTCGCAGTAGTCTTTTCGTCGATCTGTCCTTCATCTGTGCCTATCACTGTTGATCGATGACTAAATGGAGATGGAGTCTAACATTATTATAAAATTATTATGCAAAATTTGTATATATATATCAAGTGATTAGAAAAAATAATTTTTATATTTAAAAGAAAATATTTAATAACTGTTATATAATTGTTATATATTAAATAATTGTTATATTTAAAAAGAAAATATTTAAAATATTGTTATAAGAGAGATCAAAAGATGCATATTAATTTATTACAATAAGTCATGATATTTCAGATAAATATCGATATTTCTCCATTTTTTATATAATTGTTATATTAAAAAAAATATTTAAAATATTGTTATAAGAGAAATTAAATCAAAAGATGCATGTTAATTTATTATAATAAGTCATGATACTCCAAACAAATATCGATATTTCTCCATTTACCTAAAATTCATCGTGTATTCCGTTGCATGTGTTAGGTCTTCGTCTACTTTTTCGGAGACCGGCGAATATGTTGTGTGATCCTCATCCTTGGTAACTTTGCCATCATGAATCGATCTTCCGGTTGGAGAATAAATTTCCGTACTTTCTATTTCAGTTATATGAGAGAAACCTTCGGCAGCAGTAGACGACATTGTTGCAACCTCCGGTGTCGCGACATCTCCTCGAGTTGTGTCTTTACTAATCGTGAAATCCGTCGACGGAACTTCAGTAAGAAAGACACCACTTTCGCTGCCAGGAGAACTTCCGTCCTCGTATCCTGACATCGTGGTCTTCTCCATCGTATAGCTCTTCGTGTAAAACGAACTAGTTGTTCTCGGGGACGTCGAATATGTTACCAAATTGGATGTCGATGATAAGGACACAGAAGTATCCGCTATTAAAGTCGATACTCTAGGTGAAACAATAGCGGTTGTAGTTTTAATTGAACTTGTTCCCTGTTCGGATGTGTCCTCTACTTCTACAGCGATTGTCGTCAAAGGGAAACTATATTCGCACATGGAACCACTGTAATTCGGTAGACAGGCGCAAGTGAAGCTGTTGATACCGTCGATGCAAGTACCACCGTTGTCGCACTGTGCAAATTTTGACTCGCAATCGTCGTACTTTAATTCGCACAGTGCGCCGTGATAATCCGGTACGCAGTAACAAACTGGATGTTCATCCTCCAATAGACAAACTGCTCCGTTTTGGCAAGGATTTTCATCACACGGTACGACTGCTCTGTCGCAATCCTTGCCGGTAAAACCTTTTATAAAAATAGGTATATAATGTATAAGAATAATCAATGTAATAACGCAGAAAATATTTCATTATTAATTATTTATCGAGTGGATAGTGAAAGTGTTATAGGAGTAGAGACTATAAGACTTTTTTGTTTTATAAAAACTTTGATTTCACTAATTCTTTGCCTTTTTAAAATAAAAATCTGTGATTTGTGAACCACTTACCAAATAAACAAGCACAAGTATAGGAAGCTGGAACATTGATACAGAGACCACCGTTTTTGCACGGTGACTTCAAACATTCGTCAACGTCCACATCGCAAAAAGTGCCGGTCCATCCTTTTCAGATCATAAAGTCATGAAAAAAGAGGAAAAAATCAAGAGGAAATAAAAGCAAAATATTCTTTATATATGTATAGTAATTTTTTTATAGTTACCTTCGCGACAACGACAATAGAATGAGATTCCGGGTCCTTCGACGCATTCGCCGGAATTTTTGCATATTGTTTCGTTGCAAACAGAAGCGTCTATCTCGCAGTAATCTCCTAGAAATAAGACAACGAAAAATAACAACATGAAGATTTATGAGATAAATTTACCATCGCACCTGAATATCCTTCCGGACACTGACAAATAATGCCATCGTAATCGACGCAGGTGCCATTGTTGAGGCATGGATGATTCGAACATTCGCTATATTTTTGCTCGCAATTTACACCTAAATGTTATTTAAAACATATCATTTGTATTCTCATTGATTTTTTCGTATTTGATGGGTGAAGAAAGACGTATTACCTACAAAACCATCGACGCAAGTGCAATTATATGTAGCAACGCCGTCGTTGCACGTGCCACCATTGAGACAAGGATCCGACCAGCACTCGTCCCAATTAATCTCGCAATGAATTCCCGTATAACCGTCGATACAATAACAAGAATAGGTGCTGAGTGATCCATGGAAAATTTACAAAACAAAAGTAAATAGATACTTTCTATAATTTTAGCTATTTTAAAGCATTTACATTTTTTAATTAACTAGATAAAATTTAAATAAAGTTGAATCTCTATAATATACACTTTTACTTATAGATATGTATTTCTCTTTAAAATCTTTTTAAAAAAATATTTAAGCTGAAAATTGAAAATTAATAATGAATTCTGAATAAATTTATTACATAATAAATTTCTGAATGAACATTATTAATTATCAAATTTTGATCTAAATATTGTAATTTGATTGTTTTGTATTATATTATTATATTATTATTATATTATGTTTATTGTATTTTCTGTGTAATATATTTCCAAAATTTTTTACGAAGAAAAAATGATGTAATAATAATAATAATTTTATATATATATAAACTAATTATTATTATTATTATTTATTTTCGCTTATATTCGCGTGACTATCTGTATATCTACATTTTATGACATTCAACTCTTATGAAATTATCAAGATGCGTGCTTAGCAAGCGCATGTGTGTATGTACCTGTTCTCGTTGTCCAAACAGATCCCATACATGCATGGGTCCTCGCTACAATCCGACTCTAGTGCAAACACTGTTATTGTAGTCGACAGTACTATCAGAATAAGAATACTTTGACACGTGATGGTCCTCGCGAAAGGCAGGCAATAACTCCGCTTATAAGCCAATCTAAGTAGCCTTACATACCTTTACAGCATGATTACAGTATGATATATACATATGTCGATTTGTTTGCGATGTGTAGGTGTATGACGTATGCACGTGCGCATATGTATACGTGTATGTATTTTGTGTGTATGCATCACGTTCATGTTATACATCGTATAACGCGCGCATGATTGAAAAATATACGTAAAGCCGCATTACACGATGTAACTAACGAGATATAGCAATCTATTCGCGTTTCATATTGAATAATGCAGGAATCTTGCAGATCTAACGTGTAATACACCTCAAGTATCCATCAGTCACATTTAACGTACAATATTCTTATAACAATATTTATTAAAATCTACAAATTTATTAAAATTTAATAATTAGTTAAAAATTTCATTAGAAAATCTATATGTGAGATATATAATTAATGAGAAGAATAATAAGAATATATATCACGATATAAAAAATATAAAGAATTATTATTAAAAACAATGTAATTTTATTAGGTAGAATAAAATCAGGTATAAAATATTTTTAAAATCTTTATAGATATATGTGTGGTGGAAAATAGAAAATATAAACATAAGTTTAAAAAAAAAGCTGGATTTTGAAGATTAATAATTAAGATGAGAAATTAGAGCAACGCTATAGTAATAGCTTCGAGTTACGTCACTGCCGAATGCTCGTCCGTGACCTTTCCCGCGAATTTCGGCATTTCGTTATCAGGTAAAACGGTGCAAAGGGAGTTAATTACACAATTGATTGGTACAAGGATACCGTTCGGGGATTCCTGAAAGGACTAAAGAACAAAACGGACTCGCCGAACCGGGGGGAATCGGTCGATGGATCCCTCTTTTCCATTACCTTCCCATTTCTGTGCACGGTGGGCAATAAAAAAAAGGGAGGACGCGAGTCGTCCTGGAACACGGCACTTTCGACGATCTGTACACAGTACGATATGCCGCATATATCGCTCTAGCGCGGCATAGACCGTGTATATACGTTGTATGCACGCTGTTCTTGACGATGCCGCTCACGATATCCTGTCGACGACGACGACAACTCGACCGTAGTCTTAGCAACACGCGACCATACAAATAGTCGTTACGTGTCGGATACGCTTGCGTGAAGCAATCGTCGATATTAATAAAAAAACTTCTGACTTTACTATTAAATAAAAGCCATGGATGATGTATTTCACAGATTTCTTAGGTTGCAGGATCGTAGAACGCATTTATAAATTAAAGAGTTTAAAGAACAATCTTATTATTTTCGCTAACAATTTTGTAATTATTGATCTTTTTTATTGTTTTGCGTGCGGAATGTATTTTCTGGTAAATTATAATGGACGGAGTAAATTATAATGGCGAACGTTTTTAATCAGGCGAGTGAAAAAATAGATCAATATTCCGCTTTTAAATCGGACTTAAATGATTCACGAACGTGCGAAACGCTTTTATTTTAATTAAATATAATGATTTTTTCGTTTATTTTAACGCAAAAGAGTTTAATTGGCATAGGCATTTAATTAATAATATAATTAAATAATAATACAATTAAAAATACGCGCGTAATTTATTATATATGATATATCAGAGAGAAACCTTGTTTACTTCGTATTATTAGCGTGTTATATATTTTATTTACAACCTGTTGGCATGCGTAAACAGTAAACAGATAGGTCAGTAGCTAGTTGCTTTCCACTGCGCTAATGATGTGCTGCCAAATAGTAATTCTATTTTAAGCCAAGATTTATAATAAGAGCGCTCGCTATGCAGTGTCACTCGCGTATTTTCAATCATACGAACGTATCAGGATCTTTCGCGATATAATCCCGACGCTAATTAATTAATTCACAAGAATTGATTAATTTTACAAGATAATTGTTACAAAAACCGAAACTCTCTGCTGATATCGCGATATGTCACATTTGACACAACCGACGTATAGCATAAATTTCACGTTTCAATAATATCTTTCTCTCTCTTTTTCTCTAATATTCGTGTCATCAAGCTCATAATTTTTTCGTTTTTTAATCTCTCCGAGAATTTGTTAAATTTATATAAATCTCACATTCAATTATTAAAATTCCAGAGTGAATCATTCTATAACAATTGAATCAATTTCATAAGTTATAATTTGAACAGAGAACTTCTGCTCTAAATAATGTAAGTAAATAAGATTTGTTATTTGCAAAGAAAATCTTGCAGAGACGCAAAAACAAGATCTCTAAAATTGGCTCGGTGCCTACTGAAAACGCATATTAATACGTTCGGTATAAAAGAGAGTGATTAAAGCACCAAGAGACAAAGTTATGGAGGAAAAATTACACGCAAGTGAATCTGTGATTCAGATGGAACCGCGCGAGACAATAGAATTGCTCGAATCTCATCTACGAAAGAACAACATTGTGCAAGAGTCCCGGTCATGGAGCATCGAATACTCTCCCTTGGGAGGTCGCGGCATGTTCGCCACACGAGATATTCAAGCCGGCGAATTGATCTTTACGGATGTACCGCTATTGATAGGACCGCGATGCTACAGAAAGTGCTTCCCTATGTGTGTCGTCTGTTATAAGAACAATTGTCCTCTGTTTCCCTGCGATCATGATTGCGGTTTGCCGATCTGTTCGACGGAATGCGAGAACTCGACGATGCACTCTCAAGAGTGTCGATTACTCAGGGAGTGGATGCCGACCTGCGGTTCCAGCTGGTCCAATGAATTGCTGCTCGCGGTGATACCGATACGCGGTCTTACATTATCGAAAGAACAACGTAAACTCTTGTACGCCTTCGAGTGCCATTTGGAGCTTACTCGTACCCATGAGGTATATTTGATCCGATTTATTTTTCTTTCGTACATAATATTTAGTAAGTTTCTGATTCGTATAGCTTTTATTAAGATTTAAAAAAATAACATTTAAATTATTGCCCAGACAACATGTATATTCAAAAGACATTTAGAGGACAGCCTGAAGACGTCCTATCGTCCTAAAGATTTTTGAGATATCTTCTGTACATTTCTCGTATGCTATCTGGATATAATTAACAATGTGCTTCTTCATATATTTTGCTTTTTTCATTTTTATATATTTTCCATTATTTTTCTAAAATTTATTATGTAATTATATCGTTCTAATTATATGGACAACATACTTTTGAGCGATGTATTAGCTATCCAGATAGTCAATTATCTGGATTGTTATCATGTTGCCAACAATTATTGATAATAATATTATATTATTGTTACACGACAAAAGTAATATAATTAACGACACTTATATAATTAACGACATTAATCACACTTGATTACCTAGATAGACTTATATAATCGCTCACTTATGTTCAATATTTTATATATAATCCTTGTATATAATATATAATATGTGTAATCCTTGTGTATAATATTTTATATATAATATCCTTGTTCAATATTTTATATATAATATCCTTGTATATAAAAGAAAGAAGAGAAAAAAGCATACGATAATAATATACATATATTAAATCAAGAATCTTGTTTAAAATAAATTTCAAGATCGATCTCCTCAAGAGAAACGTGAAAAAGTTTCCCAACAAGGAGCAACTGGAGCTTATGAAACGCATTTGCGGGGTCTTCAACACAAATTCCTTCGAAGTCTTAGTCGCGAGCAACAAAGACTGCACCACGAGTTTACGCGGTCTTTATCCCTTGGGTGCGTTGCAGAATCATTGCTGTGTTCCAAATACTAGACACCACTTTGATGATCAGCAACAGCTACATGTGACTGCCACGCTGCCGATCGCCGCTGGCGAGGAAATCACCATGTCCTACACCGATCTTCTATGGGATACGTCGAGTAGAAGGCAATTTCTGAAAGCCACCAAACACTTCTCCTGCAACTGCAGTAGATGCTCTGATCCCTCGGTATATTTATGCACAAATCTAAAAAAAACTTTGTTGAGACAATAAAAGCTTACGTTTCTTTTCTTTCCTCAGGAATTCGGATCCCAGCTCGGAGCGCTTCTCTGCGCGAAGGACGATTGTTCGGGGCATTTGCTACCAAGCAATCCTCTTAATTTTATATCTCCCTGGATCTGCGACAAGTGTCAGATCAGTGTAAATTACAAACAGGTGATATCTAGAAGTTGAAATGTTTTATTTTCGCACGCAATAAAAATAATTCTTCAATTTTTTAATCATTCTTTCAGAATAAATATCTTCTCTGTAATGATTGATTTCGAGAAGCTATTTATTTGCATATTAATAATATGTTCATATATTTATTACAATATTTATACGATTATTTAGTCAATTAAAGAGTTTATCTTGATTTTTATCGTACTGCTAATTAATACGAGATTTATCAATTTACAGATTGAATTCATTCATTCACAATTAAATGCTCTTGTACTTGACGCAATGTACATGACTCCGCATGAAATTGTAAAATTTATAGAAACGGCATTATCGAAATTGGTTCCTACAAGTAATTTCATTTTAATCGACGTCAAATTTCGTATAATCTCCTACTTTGGCAGGACGCCGAATCTTAAGTGGGAAGGTAAGATATCAACATTTTCTATTTTATTCCGGCGCCACGCGTATGCTATTTTTGTATAAAGCTATTATATACATTTATAATATATACATGTTAATGCAAAATATAATTTGTGTTACAGATCTTACGGATGCGGAACTTAGAATTAAGAAAATGTATTGTAACGACATACTTTCTATTTTGGATACTTTAGGTTCTGGAGATTCTATTAAAAAGGGTAAAACTCTTTTCTTTTACAGAGATATTAGAATCTTTATATAATCTTTTTTTAACTCTTATTTTCATAAAAAATAAATACATATATAAAAATTGAAAATTATATATTACTTTTACATAAACTCTAATTAATTATTTTAGCATCAAAATTATTAGATAATATTAAAATAAAATACAGATTTTAGGAAATCTTAGCGCTTATTTTATATCAGAATTTTCCTCGAAGTTATATTTCAGTTTCATTACAATCATAATTCAAAAAAAACGAAAGATAATTTTTGAAATTTATTCTCGTAATATATTTTGTAGGCCTTGTTTTATACGAATTGTATCGTACAAATCTTGAATTATCCAAGCGTCAGACGTCGGAAAAAGAAACACATCCGTTCATACAGGTATGAAGAATATAATTCACATCAATTATACGTGTCTTAATGGTTATTGTCCTAAATTCTTTTCTCAGGATAACGATAACAAATGTCTATTACGGCAGGCAATGGATATATTGCAAAATGATATCGGCGCAACCTGTGTTCGTAAAAGTGATTAATACAAAAATAGTTTTAAATTTGTATTTATTGCATTATTCGATGTCTAAGATTCACATCAATTATATGTATTTTAATGATTATCGTCCTAAATTCTCTTTTTCAGGATAGCGAAAACAAATGTCTATTACGGCAGGCAATGGATATATTGCAAAATGATATCGGCGCAACTTGTGTTCGTAAAAGTGATTAATGCGAAGACACAGTTTCAAATTTGTATTTATTGCATTATTCGATGTCTAAGATGAATATACATAATGTGTGTACGAGTTTGAAGTAAATAATACGTCTTATATTGCTATGTAATTATGATTTTCGTATCTAATTATTTGGTTTCGTACTTTAATGCACATGATATATATCTTATGACATACGTGAAAAATTTGTGGATATATACAAATATAGTTACTGCGATAAAAAATGTGCATAAGCGATTATTATAGTCTGATGAAAATTACGTATTTGACAGAGATTAAACTTGTGAAACTTTAGGTTTAAAATATGCAAACATTCATTGATTTTTATCAAAGATGTTTAGACAAGAATTATATTCAACTGATAATTAGGTCACAGTTTCGTGTCAATTAAGTTATGATACAATGTGTTATATAGATCAAATAGATCACTATGCACACACATATATAAGGCAGTGTATATATATTTTATACAATTAATACAAAAAAAGCTAGTAATTATTCACAATTTTAGGCATAAGTTCCATCACTCCTTCATACTACTTGCTGTAATAAGCATTTTGCTTCCTCGTATAAGGCAGCACTTGATTTTATCGTTTCCAAATCATAATCCACATCTTCATCATAATTTACATTGTTATTTCTGTAATAAAATTTCATTATATATTACAGACATAATTGTGTGTGTGTGTGTAAAAAAATATATTAACACAAAATTTTCTATAAATCTTAATTTATAAAGTAACATACAAAAAAATTTCACAAATTCTTAAACAGCATAACTTGATGCGACTCACCTGTATAAAGAATCATCTACGGTATGCATGGCACCGTTACCTAAATCTTGCAGCAACCGATTTCGTGCGAGCGCTGTATGCATCAGCGCGATATCAGCAAGCAAAAATTCTTTATGATTCATAAAAAGAAGATTTGAAAAATGTTATTTCGTAAACTCCTTTTTAACTTTAGCAAAATTATATTAAAAAATCACTGTTTATATTGTATATTAAAAACTCACCGTTCTTTTCATACTTTCTAAGCAGTTTTTTTACGAAATCTTCGCCCGCATACTTCTTAGATATACCAATTCTGTAGAAGATAGCTTTGCACTGCCATCGATTTTCCGCAGAGTCTTGATTCGATGAGACAATTCTCCTCGCTTGCGTTTCTTTCACGAGGGATTCCCAATCGACGCCTAATGCATCACCCAATCCTTTGCCGCTTGTTTTAATGTCCTCTTCTAGTTCGCCATCAGAAATTTCTTCAAAGTCCATAGTTTCCATATTTTCATCTTCTATATTTCTATTAACACAATGACATTATATAAAATTTGGTGTAATTTTTATTCTCTACGATTATATTTTATATCATTTATATCTTACTTTAATGATATTGTATCGGCGTTATCCTTAGGCTTTGAATTGAAAATAGTTTCTTCTACGGATTCTTTTGGAGATAACTGAGCTGGCTCCTGTGCAGTTGATTGTGCGTCACGATGTGCAGTATCCGGTATTTTCTTGTTTGTTCGCGTTTTACTACTTTCCATATCCTATCAAAAAATTACATAAACTCGTTAAGCATCTTTTGCAACAAAAATAAAAAAATACAAAAATATACAATGCATACCGTAGTATCTTCTTCCATATTCAATATATCGTCAGGATCATCGCTAATATCACTCAAATCACTCTCAGTGTGAAGAGTTTGCAAAGAATCATCAACTATGGGACGCTTCGGTTCCGTCATGACGGGTTCTTTGATTTCAGGTTTATCTTTTTGTGAATTCTTCTTTTGAAAACTATCCGTGGGTTTTTCTCTCGTAGTTGTACACAACTTGCCTTCGGCAAGTTCCATCAGTTTTTTATTAATAGGTTCTTCTTTCATGCTGCCATAAATAGCAGCCTGTTTAGCAGAAGGATGAATCGTCGGTTCCTCTCTCACTTCGGGCGCATTATATGATCGTCTTTTGCTAAAAAAATTTAATTAGTAGAAAATATATATGTATATGTAACATTATATTTTATACTTTAATCTTTTGTATAGAGAAAAAAGAGATTATATTATATACTTACTTATGTTGTGTAGATTCTCCAAGTTCCAAGTCTTTCGAACGTTCGTTTCTGTAATGAGTTCGAATATGCACGTTCTGATTATCCCATTTTCGCGAATCGTTAGACTTCCAGTCAGTCATTGAATTATCGTATCGGGTATTGTTCCACTCGTCATCATGTATCTCCGAACGAGGAAGACTGTCTCTGTCTTCCCATAACGTTCTCGTGCGCCACTCTCTCTCCTCCCATTCTGCTGCTGGATAATTTCGATCTCGACCATGTTCCACGTCCCGATGATGTCCTTCCCAATCGTCGTTTGAAACAGTCTCATCCCTTATTGACAAAAGAAAAAAGAATGAGTGATATATTGGCTATATATAAGTATCTATTCATTATTAAAAATCTTATTTTCTCTTTTCTTTTTTTCTCTCTCTACATATTTATTTATCTATATAAATTATGCAAAATTAACATTAAAAAAATGAAAACTTACTGTAAAATTTTTTGATGGTATTTAGTTTACAATTTTTGCTTTAACGCTATAATAAAAAGAAATAATTCTGTATTTTGCATAATAAAGCACGATAAAAGTAAGTATAACACTTTCTGATTAATTATTACCTAATTCCAGCTCCACTATTTCTCAATTTATCGCCAGTGTAAAGAGGATGACGATGATGATGATGATGATGACGGTGATCATCGAAGGATGTTCGCTCCGTAGTCTGGATCATGTATCTCGACTCCTTGGATCTCTCCTCACGAGCGACGCGTCTCTCCTCAAAAGGACTATCGTACCGTCTACCTTCGACGGCTTTTCTTCTGTCATCATCATGAATATGAGTGTGATCGCGATATTCCACGTGAAGGGCCGGCTCTTCCTGCTCATCCCAATGCTCTGGCATTCTCCCGTAATTCCTACCGAAATTCCTGTCCACTTCCACAGCGCGTCGTGGACTAGTCATATCCCGACGATCCACTATTCGATCGATCTTGCTCGGAATACGATTCGGTTCGATTCGCGTCTGATCCTTCCTGCTGTTGTGTTCCGACGTATGTCCCCGTTCGTATCTCATGCCAAACCTCCTCCCATGCCGGTCCCTATCATAGTGATTGTCCACCATGTCCATCAGATGATCGCGAGATGACGGCGGAGCGGATGTCACAATCGCCGAGGACGAAGTTGTAGCCACCAACGGTAACGGCGTTGATTGGACGCTCGACGATGTCACAGAATGTCCACCCTTGTCGTGTAAGGGCGCACGGTCCAAGGACGTCTCTCGGAATCGGTCCATGCGATCTCGCGGTGAATTCATGTTCGACTTGTTGCGACTTAAAGACGCGTCCTTGTCCACGGCACCACTTCTTTCGTACCTTCCATCCAGACGCGATTGCGTCGAGTTTCGTTCTCGCTCGACAAGAGCCTTCGTCTCAGATCGCTCCCGTTCGCGTTCGCTTCTGCTTCGCTCGCGAACCCCACTGCTCTTTTCAAACGGCACATCTTTACTCAAAGGTCGTTCCTTGAGTCTACTATTATAACGCGAGCTCTTATCCGCCGGAAGATTTAACGTCGTGGACGAAACTACTGTGGATACATCCCTCTCTCGCGGCTTCATAGATTTTTCTCTTTCTCTCTCTCGATCGCGATCCCGTTCTCGTATCTCTCGTTCTCTTTCGCGTTCACGATCGCGTTCGCGCTCCCGTTCTCGATCGCGGTCCCTATCTCTATCGCGTTCGCGTTCCCTCTCGCGATCCCGATCGCGATCTCGCTCTCGCTGCCTCTCGCGGCAACGTTCCTGAGATTCATCCTTATCTTTATCACGCTGAGGTTCCTGGCGCTGATCGCGAGTCAATCTCGAGTGACGTTCCTCTCTTATGTCTTTTTCGCGCTGACGCTCACGACTCTTCTGTCGCGTCTTGTCGCCACCATAGGTCTTTTCATCAAAATTATCCTTGCTTGCATTATTCCTGCGATAGTTTTCATCCTGACTCGTTGTCTGCTTTGCTTTATTGCTCGAGGTCTGCTCACCTTTTTTCGCATCTTCCCGCTCTTTACTCTTGTCTCTTTTGTGTGAGTCGCGTTCCTTCTTTTCCGCATCTCTCGCGCGACTCGACGAGCTACCTCGTTTCTCCGGATTTTTTATTGGAGTGAGATCGCGTCTCACTCTTGACGGGGTCTTATCAGGTGTTCGGCTACGCCGCGTCTTCGAGGATATGCTTTCTTTGATGTGTTGATGCTTAGCCGATCGCTCTGATGATAGAGGCGGTGGTGGTGTACGCGAACGAACGTCCTTATCCTTACACTTGGATCTCAACCGGTCATCCGACTTAATCTTCTCATCATTCCCACGACTTTTCTCCTTATCTTGTTGTTCCTTGATTTTATCAAATGATTTACATTTGGATGTATCCTTGGACAGACACTCCTCTATATCACGCACTTTCTTGTAATGCCTGCTGTCCTCCTTGTCCATCTCCCGATTACTTTTCATTGCTTTTGGCGATTCGCTTCTGTTTCTCTCTCGTAGTTTACCAGATGATGACGCGTGATGCGCTACGGAAACCGAGGAACCCAATACTACGGCTGACGTAGATGTGATCCCACTCGTAGATCCTTGCATTGCTGGTGATCTAGTGCGTAATGAACCAGAATGTTTTCTAGATACAGATAATGAAGCATGCTTCTTAATCGATCTAGTGGCAAGATCTTTCTTCGTGGAATTGTTCTCAAGCTTGCGTTTCTTTTTGCTGACGGCTTTATCGTTTTTCGCTCCCAGTCTCTTAAGTTTTAGTCTGTAAAATCCAATTTGATTGTGGATTGTACAATGAGAAAAATGTGCTGTTATGTAACTAATATTGAAATAACATAATAGATTACTTATTTTATATATAATTATACAAGAAATTTTCTTCTTACAGATGACTACAGAGTTGGATGCTTAATATATGATATAATATCATGATATAATATACATATATATTAAATATATATGATACAATATATGATATAATATATATATTAAATTTTGAGAATATTAAATGAGTATACTTACTTTCTTTTTTTCTCTTTATCTTCGTCGTAATCAGTGGAAGCACTATGATGTCTCTTTGTTTTGATCTTTTTAACTTTCTTTCGTGAATCTGATGTTGATGTGGAAGATGAGTCTTCGCTGCTAGAACTACTACTGCTACTAGATGTACTGGAGGTGCGTGAACTAGAGGAGGAGCTCATAGCCTTTTTTTTCTGTCTTACTTTATCTTTGCCATGTACTTCTTTATCCTTCTTCATTTGTAATTCCAATTCTCGTTGCAACAATTGCCGCCGTCTCTCCAACACTTTCTCGTCTTCGTATTCAAGATCCGTTTGATTCCACTCTTCTATGTTCAAATCTGGGCTGTGTGATGCTTTTTTCACAATTTTTGACGTAAGCCGTTTGAAAGGATCTTCAATGAGCTATAATATTGAGAGAATCAATCTTTAGCTTACAACTAGTCAATTATTTATTACAATTTTAATTAATTTTAATTAATTATTAATTTCAATTCTGTTTTATCCTATAGCACAGTAAATGCTCTGAAAATATTACGTATCAAATGAAATGATTATAAACATAAAAATGTGATATACTTACTCCAGATGTACTTGCGATCGCATTATCTTTCTTAGCACGTTTGGATGGGCTTATCAATGTATGCGTATTTGCGTATCTAATTAAATAAGAGAAACAGAGAAAATTCATATATAAGTTTAATATTCTACAATAAGTCTGCTTGAATGAAGAGTAAAAATAGCTTCATAAAAAAAGCCTAATTCATAATTTTATACTGCTGATGTGAAAAGAGCGAGTATAATAAATGCATTTGTTTGGAATATTAAAACAAATGAATTTAAATAGCTCGTTTTTCTACTCTTAACTTCTCTTTCAAAAATAAGTTATAATTAATCATATGTTATAAGAATCTCTCTTTGTTCTCTGTTATTAGTCTGTATACCCTTATGTAAATTCAATTTGATTACTGTTGATACTTTTGTGTACAAATGTAAAATGTCCCAACAGGTAAAATTAGAAATTGCGAAATTGTTCAGTTGTTGAGGAATCTTTCCAACGCATAAATAAAAGCCGCTCACTTGCAATTCTTGCCGTAGGAACAACTGCCGTTGAGGGCCCAATTTCTGCAATAATCCGATGTATTCTGAGCGGCGGTGGCGGCGATTGCTGGTTTGGTGCCCAACCTCTCAAACACACTCGGCCGTCGAGAAGAGTCTGTATTACATTTCGTAGGGTCAGCCGTTATCTTCCTTAGGTTTGGTTTTGACATATTATCACCATAAAGCACTTGTATTTTCACAATGGAAGCACATAACTGCGAGTATGCAGGTGTTCACGTGCCGTGCGGAATCGTCATGCGATGCGATGATCTTGACTATGCGCCCTATGCGGAATACACGCACAGGTAAACATCTCTGTCTGGGTGTGCCACTGTAAGTCGTGTATCATCGATTATCGTCGGCTACTCTCATATTACTCCAGTGTTCCGAAATTGGCCGGAATCGCCCGAAGACTCCTCGAAATCCGAAAATTTGCCCGAAATTCTTCGATAGAAGAAACACAAACGCAGCAAAGATTATAGGTGTTCTCTGCGTTTGTCGTCATTCATCGTAGTCGCCTGCTTTTATCGATCATTGATAAAATTGCTACGTGTCAATTTATTGTTATCGACACGGAATACTCAAGAATGCTCCTAGCACTGAATATTGCAGTAATATTACAGCAACATTGCAATATTGTTGCAATGTTCTGTGCTGTATGGATTTTTACAATACAATATAAAAATAAAATACAATAAAATATTCAATTTTATAATTCTTTTTCTACATGATATGTAATATTTTATTAATAATGCCTGAAGATTTTATATTTTATTCCTTTTTTATATATTATTTTATTTTTATTTTATTTCTTTTATATATTATTTATATATTTATTTTATATATTATTCCTTTAGACACATGAAAACCTGTGTATCTATATAATATATAATTCTGTAGAAAACGTGTGTATCTATATAATATATATTCTGTAGAATTCTGTGTATCTATATAATATATAATTCTGTACAATATATATGTATATCTGAGAGATTTATGGATATTAAATTATTTAAATTTAAATTTAATAAAGTATCGATATCATTTAATTTTTCTAAAATTACAAATTATATTTACGATTGCAGAAAAGATCTTGCAATTATAAATCAATTAAAATCAATACAAATAAAATGAACCTGCAAAAATATCATAAATAATTTGTAATTTCAAAATTATCAAATAATATCGATATTTCATTAAATTTGTAAATTTTTCGGATTCGTGCAATTAATTCATATAGTGAGAAAAATTCTCGATGTATGAAGCATGTACAACATATATCGTAATCTTATGCATCAGCATTGGAAAATATGCGGAAATTGAATGATTTAATGTAAAAGACATGTTAGATTTAATTGAATAAGCGTGACCGAGATCGGACGATCGATAGATGAGTAATAATCTCGACATAAATAGTACCGAATCATCCTTCCATAGAATCTCGTGAAAAAGAAAAAGCTTAACTTGAAATCTTTGATTTTTATATGTGTATGTCAATGAATAATTCATTGAAAAATCCGTTTTTGCTGTCTACATGTTTTTTTTTATTAGAATAAAAATGACAATCCAACTTTGTCTTTACATTTTGATGAAATTAATCGCTTATCATCGGGTCGTTTGCCATCATAACTCGATTAATGATTAATGCCGAAACACGTTTATAAGCTAAATATCAATTTTCCAATTTTTGTGTATTCAACGACCCGTAATAACAAAAAAATTGCGCGTCTATTCTACCTATAATAGCGATTCATTGATATAATCACAATCGAAGCGTCGAGTGCACAAATGCAACATACGCAAGTACATTAGCATAAAAAAAATCATCGAAATAACAAAATGACATTTCGTACGAGGACGTATATTGCACACCCTGAAAAAGTATATTTATTACACGCAATTCTTGCACACTTTTGTGACTACGATGATATCGGAATGACGTCTCGTGCTACATTGGTATTACACTAAACTCTTGCCGACATTAAACATATATAGCAAATGAAACTCTTACGATAACTCGCATAACAATAAATTAGACTGCATAACGATTTGATAAGGATTATACAACATCTGTATTTATATCTGTATATAACCATATGACTATATATCCACACTTTTTCGTAAACACTATAATTTGCGCAACTTTACATACAAAAATCGATTAAAAAAATATTAGTACGAATATAATATGGATTAATATCTTGCATATATTTAAAATATATATATATATATATATATATTAGTAATTAGCAAAATATAACTGTAATTTTAACCGCAGCGTACAATCGTTCTAAACATTTATATATGTATATGTATCGTCACTACATTCATCCTTTCTTTTAAAATTCTAAAGCAACAATACATCGTCACGCCACGATTACAATCTTTTCTCATAAAGTGTTATTTCATCTTAAATCCATATAAATATAAATATATATATATATATATATATATATATATATATATATATATGTGCACACACATCATACATACATGTAGGTATAGCGTTTCGTTCTGAGGTAGATCGAGTCAGCAAACAGCAAACAACTATATAATTCAAAGCTCATTTCTAAGTGCAATTTATAAGTGCACATTCTAGATCTATTATTACGTTTTAAAACTATATATCGTCAGAATATAAAAAAAAAAAAATCATCAATGTCAATTTTTATCTATTGTTGCATTACAACTACTATAATTTTTGAAACCTTGATTATCATTAATGATTGCACAATTAAATGTAATTCTAATTGATATCCATTTGAAGTGCGAAGAGAACTAGTGAAACTGTATTTCAAATTCGGCAAAAACTCAACATCATGATTGAATTTAACATACGTAAATTAAATCTTATTTTTCTTTTCCTGTTTATTAAAATTGTAAATTAAGAATTAAGATTAAAGACAATGTTTGTAACACTCAATGATAATGGACATTGATGATATCTAATAATCTATTATAATTGTTAAGTGACATTCGGCACTTTACTTTTTTGAACTTTTATCAGGATATATAATTATACGTTTTCTCTCTTAAAAAGGAAAAAAATATACAATTGTAAAAAAAACCGTATTTTGTGTTCTTACATAAAAAAGAAAAAATATACAATTGTAAAAAAAAACCGTATTTTGTGTTCTTACATAAAAAAGAATTCGATACTGAAGCAGTAGCACATGATTCATGAGAAATAGTATGTACAGTTTGATAAATGTATATTAGATGCAAAAATATATACTTTCATTAAAAAAAAATCCATGATTAATAAATTTATAGATTTTTAGTGAAGTTAATTAATATATCAAGGTTTCATTTCTCACTTATATTAAATATTTTTACATAAAATAACTTCTGAAACAATGCATATATATATATATATGGAATCTGTTAATTATGCATCAATCAAGTTAACTATGTCTGTTTTTTGAAATAGCTTGAAGTTTAGATATAAAGCGTTATTTCTATATACATATAAGTATATAGACAAATATATATTTATATAGCATATCCTAATTTTTTTAATATATACATATGTAGACACAAGAGATTTATAGGAAAACGATTTTCTATAATATTAAAAATTATCGATACCGCCATCAGGTATGCCACTTCTAATATTTTCCAATATCTTATTCACAAATTCTGTCGAATGATTTGCTATTCGCACTTCTGTAATAAAAAATTCGCGCATATTAAAGTAATACTGATCATTATTAAAATGTTTGTTATATTTAAATGCACTTCATATAGTATTTTATATATTTATACATGTTTAAAAAAACATTAAGATATTACTCACTGGTAGCCACTTTGCAATATTTTTCCATTTGCCGTGTAAGCTCTTCTTGATTCTCAGGATTAGATTCAGCTAATTTAGCAGCAAGCGTATGTTTAGCTTGTGATATACCTTGTATGAGACGTCCTGTAGAAAAATAATTTTAGATTTTTAATCCACTATACATTTGAAATAATCTCATTGAAATAAAGATTTTTCTATCTCGACATATACTCAACTATGCTCTGTTTCGAGTCCATGCAACTTTATCTTATTAGCTTCATGTTGAGCTTTTTTCTTCAAACGGCATGCCCGAGAAGCTAGTTTATTCTTTTCTTTACGTGTCTTTGGTCTTACTGGGAAAGGTAATTCCGAAACAGGTGTCATATCATTTATAATGCGATTGAGTTTGTCTAATTCTTTTCCAATATTATGGAGTTTGCGAGGATTCGGCGTAAGATCATTTCCATCGCCTTTTCGTGCTTTTCCGCTATGTTTGATTCCTCTGAGAACACAATGAGGACTAAATACTGGATCGGTTGCTTCGTTCAAAACATGCGGGTCTTCTAAGCGCGCTCGAGCAATTAATCGCTGTCCTTTTGGTCCCTTTGCTTGAACATTATATTGCCAGAAAAATCTTTCTTTCTTACTATGTCTGTTATCTTTCCCTAAATCTGTAGTTCCCGTTCCTATTCTGTGATTACTCTGGTCCTCATTATCACTTCCACCTGTATCTAGTAAATAAACAATAGTTTAATCATTACATTGTATATTATTTTACTTCATTTATAACATGTTGATTTTACTTAATTTAAAAAAAATATAAAATAAATTAAACTTTTATACAGACAAGATTATAAAATAATAATCTCCATAATAAATTACATTAATATATTAATATATGAATAATATAATAATACAAATACCATTATCACTGCTATAATCATCATAATGGTCACTATCATCATCACTATCCTCATAGCCTTCATCGTGGCTAAGAGGATCAGGACAGAGTGGATCAGGACTCAGTGCACCTCCGGTACTCAAACTACTTGTCGATCCTGCCTCTACCAAGCTACCAGTACTTAACAGATGTTGACGTGGTTCCCTATGAGACCAGATCTGATCCAGATGTCCCATTGTCTGAGTTGGAGCAGACATAGAGAGTCTCGAAATTTTAGATTTACCACTTGTTGTGGAGATATTATCCATTTGATTGGACACTGGATTAATAGGATTTTCACCTTTTCTCATAAGTAAATCATGTAAAGTGGATCCAAGACGCCCTGGAGGATGTGGTGAAGTTGATGAACTTGCTGTAGAACTACCTATTAAAATTACAGTACTATTTCTATTTTTATTATCAAAACTAATAAATGCTAGATCATTTATGAATCAATTTCAAATATATTTATATCAGAAAATATACTATTTTTATTATTATTTTTATTATTATTTCCTAAAAACATGTTTATTTAAACAAACCTGCAATATTACCAGTGCCTGGACTGGGAAACGCAGTAGGACTAACAGCTTCTGCATTATCTATGATGGTTGAACTTCTATTAAAAGTATAAGTATTTGTATATGTGGGACAGCTTCGATAAGTTGTTCCAGATTGAGGAAAACTACTAGGTGCAAATCCTATGCCACTAGTGTTAAATAGAGAGCTGGAAAATGGAGGAACATTCTCTATTTTTATCGGCTGTACTCTTTCTTCAGGTAGCAACAGATCATCGAAATTTAGATCTCCCAACTCTAGTGTCTCATCATTGGCATTTAATTCAGCGAGAGTTGGGCCCTGGATTAATTCAGCTTTGTCTACTTGGAATATATCATCCTCGTCCATCTTAAGCGAGATGTCCAGCTGATCCGGATCCATTTTAAAGGGATATTCCATATGTTCGCTCCTCATGTCCCATCCGGAGGAGAGAGTCAGAGGCGAAGGGGAGAACTGATCGTATGCTCCTCGCGTGGTTCCTCTGTGTCCTCCGGGTATGGGTACTGATGCCGACGCCGAGCCCATTTCCTGGGCAGGTTCCTGCTTCACTACGCTATCCATACTAGGTAGGAAAATGTCGCTGTACTTAGAATTGTCCATTAGCAACACGTGCTTGAACGAGAAACGTGAGGGTGACGCTGTCTGCTGATCGTTGTCCAAAAATTGCTACTCTACAAGGTAGGACATAAAAATTAGCTGGATAAGAAAAATCATCAATTTTAGGCTCGATCTATTCGATTTGGCTCAGCGTGTCGTGACAAATATCACGTGCACGCGACTATAATTTGTCGCGTGTTCTTACGCGTGGGTCTGCAGCAGGCTCGACGAGTGGAATAGAGGAAAGAAGTGCACGCGACGAATCGTCTTCAATTTTGACTCGTCCGATCTGCTCGATCGATTCCGCAATCTTGCGTCCGTAGTGATGCACGAGGGAATGGAGAACAATTTTCTCTCTCTCTCTCTCTCTCTCTCTTTCCCTCCCTCTCTATCTATTTATCTATCTGTCTGTCTCTTTCCCTCCCTCTGATTTTTTGGAAAATTCCGACAGAGTTGATCTGATTGGAAAAAACAACGGTAAGACACACACGTCAAAATCACATATTGGTCCACGCGCGTTCACAGGACGCACGCATCGCGGTTCTCGTTAGCGGGCATTTTCCGCGGCTGACAACATCGCGACGAGAGGCCCAGATTGAGTTTCACTTTTTCCAGTCTAGTCTATACCCTTCCCCGACGAGGTCCGCGAGGTCCCGATCGCGAGATCGGTAGGTCGCAGGATCAATCGCGCTGTTCCTGACAGCTCGGACGTATCCCACGACGAGTAGAAACGCATGAACGCGAGCTCGAGAAGTCGCGAGAGGCGCAAACTTACGACGTGTGTTGTTTGTTATTGTTTTGCCACGAGACTGCGAGGCCGATCGGTGATGTTTGCATAAATAGAGGAAAGGGTCACATGACACACCGTCGCGAAACAACGTCGACCAATCGCGCGCCGTCTTTCCTCCGTACGCGGCCCGCACTTTTTTGCGCCCGATGTAACACGGCGAGAATTTTCATTCCGATATTACTGCCCCGTACGCGTGCTTAAGCGTACTTTCGCGCGCGTAAAAGTCGCGAGGACGTTGTGGATTCCAAGGACACAATCGCCCGATCGATCCCCTTTGATTGTCGCGCGTGATTAGCGAAATTTATTTTTTTTTTTTTTTTACATATGTTCGATCGTATAACATGAGACTTGAAGTTCTATCGTCGAATTATTTACGCTTATGAAATATCTTCGTGTATTTTTTCTAAATTAGCAAATATTTTTCTCGTTTTATCCTCTCTAGTGATATTTTATTCTTCTCACTTGACATGACTGCTTTCAATCGCGACAAGCCAATGGCCGGATTCAACCGCTAAGTAACAATAGAATATGATTGGTTTCTACTTTTAGGTCCGACCAATCAGCGTCGAATTACATCGGTAAATCTAGTAATGTTGCCCAACTGTTGAGTCCGCTGAATGCGGCCAATGACAGACAGATGGACAAAGTGATGGATGGATTCTCGCATACGATTGGTCGGCGTGAATCGTTCTGATTTGCTGTAAATAGGCGGGGCAAGGGGAGCGTAAAACTGACCAATTGGCTAGTTTTAAGTTCTCCCTGCCCCGTCTAGGACAGAATCGTTGTCGCTCACTGTACATACTTTATGCACGTGGAAGAGGACCTGTGTGAATTGTTTCTTTTATTTCTAAAATTCCTTGACAGCTTTCGTAAAAGGATTTGCATGCGCATGTATAAATACATGTATGTATTAATATCTAAGCGTTTATAAAACATTATTCAGTTAATTGTACTCGCGCACAATTTGAATGATATTTTTGAGATCGTCGAGAGATAAACTACTACGCTTGTCAAAAGGCATAGCAATTGTTGCTGCTTTTGTTTTTACTTTCTCGCACGAATAAACTTTAGATCATTATTGCCTTGATTCTCGCATTTTTTTTTTCGAAATGTATTTTTTTAAGATACTATTTCAAGCCATTGCACTTTTTTGGTTACAGATCAGAGTTTAAAAAAGAGACGTAATAAAGGAGAGAGAAGGAAAAGGATAGAGAAAAAGGCGGCGTTGGTCTAAAAAGGACGACGAGTGCTTGTAGGAGGAAGGAAGGAGCACAGGAAACGCTGAGCCAAGATTTTTTTAATCGCATTCTCTTATCGTTTCGGCGCGAGAAAGATACGTTATTCGTGATCATAAAGGACGACTGTGAAATATTTAACTGAAGGATCGAAGATACCTTGTCCAGTCGTAATCTGGTAAGTTTCCTTCGACGATGTTATATTAAAATGTGTTCGTCGCGGGTAATAAAGAATCTGAAAAATATCGAAAATAATGTGTATACATCGATCCTCATTGATGGAGAATTGATCTGAGAATTCTCATTGGGTATCGGATTTATCGGGTTTCCTTCGTCTGTATTTTTTTCGCGCTTTTTTACAATCAAGATATTTTATTTCACGCGCAAAAACTGTAGCCCGGACGAGCAAACCGTTGCTTTTCATCCATCTCTTTTATAGATGTAGTATAAGTATTGCATACTCTTCGTATCTCTCTTTGCGGGTATATTATTCGCTTGGTGTGTACGCTTCTAAAGTGTATCGTTCTATTAATCAACCGGTGTCCTTTGTTGTTTACGTCATGCAAATTGCGATCGTTCGCTCGCCGGTATCATTCAGTAACATTCTCAGTAACGTGAGCGAACAAAGAAAATTGATTTCTTCGACGCGATTTCGATTTTTTTAAGGCGGGACAATTTTGCAACCGTTCACAAGAGATAAAAAATAGACGATATGGCTAATTATGATGCCGATGTGGATGCCGAGCAAGAGCAGATTTTTGATAGGTAAGAACAAAGTTAAATATTATTGCTTGCAAAATACTTTGTGTTGTAAAATCGGAAAGGATATTAATTTTACGGATATTTATGAAATATATAACTTTTTACAATTTATATATGCGACTTTAGGAATCTTTAAATCGTAATGTTAAATTTATGTTCATATATATGTAATTTTCATCACATTTATATTTTTTATAATCTTAAAATAATTTTGATGTAACATTTGCACAATATGTATTAAATTTATATCGCACATATCTTTTATATATTTTTTATGTTTGTATATTGCATGTTGTATACTGTTTATTAATTTTTATAAATATTTTTTTATTCAGACCGGATACAGAGTATAAAATATATGTGAATTGTTTGCCACCAGAGTTAGATGAGGTATATCTTACTTTTAATTGTAAATTATAATTATATTGAAAATTTATATATAAATTTCTTTTTTTAATTTGATATTTTTATATATTTAATTATATATTGCCAATTACATATGTCTCATGAATTTTTATATTATATATTATTTGTAATTTTGATTGGAATATTTTATCATTCGATAATGATGATACTGTGTCAATATTTAAGGTTGCTATTAGAGAAGTTTTTAATCAATATGGTAGAATTACTGGAATATTTTACCCTCCTAAAGCTTCATGGGCTTATATTACATATAATTCATATCGTGAAGCGGAATGTGCTATACGAGAACTCAATGATAGAAGACCGTTATATTTAAAAGTTACACTTGCGAAAGAAAAGTCTGTTATAAAGGAAGAGGGATTGCAAAGATCACCTGTATCGGAAACTTCTGGAGGAAGAGCAAAAGATGCTACTGCAGAATCATCTGTGCCTACTTACAATGATGCAAAACAGTATTAATCAATATTAATTATTATTAAGATGTTATTAATTACTATAATTAACAATTATTATGATTCAAAGTTTTTAAATATATCTTATATTAAGTTTTACATTTTATGTATTCCTAAAAAATATTTTAAGTATTAAATATAAATTAAGAATATGTATGTAACAAATAGCTTTTATATATTTAATGTAAAAGTGATATGGTAGTAAAATATGTATATAATTGCAGTCAACAGAGTATGGGTCGTGGTCGAACAATGAATGCATTTTGTAAGCATTTAGCATCACAAATGACAATGTCAAATAGATCTACAGAAAATGAATTATTACCATCTTCACAAGCATCTAATCTTTATGAAATTGAGGAACCTACTCTAAACACAGATAAATTATGGACCAAGTAAATAAATACAATAATGGTTGTCTTAATACTTATTCTATTTTGCATATTTATTGTATTTTATATATCTTATTTCAGAGGTGTGATAACCATCACAGAAGATGGAAAAAGACATGTAACCCTCGGACGTGGTTTTACACGATATGAAATCCCAAAGCCGCACCCTAAAATTGAAGAATACGTTTTAAATATAATCGAAAAACGCCATAATGTATGTTATAATGATATATGAATGCAGATGAGATACAAAATTATATAAAAATTTATAAATTCATATAAATATTATAATGTTGTTATTTATTATTCTGATATTTAATAATTTAGCTGTTAATATAACTTGATTTAAAGAATTAATTATATATAATTATATTTTTTATTTTGTATAGGGTATATATGAATATGGGGGAGATAAACTTAAGAATGAAGTACAAAAGTGTCTTGTTTGTTCCAATAAAACAAACAAACATTGTGAAAAATGTAACACATATTATTGTAGCATAAACTGTCAAAGAAATGATTGGCCACGACATAAAATCGAATGTCAACGCATACCGTAATTATATACATTATTTATTAAACAAAGTCAAATAATGTAGATATCTTTAATGTAGAGTAAATTGTTGTAATAATAAAAATCACATTTAACTGCAGATGTATTTCTACTGATATTATTTGTACAAACTTCTTATTTTGAGGTAAAAATATTGCTTGAATGAAATTTTTGTTTTATTATCAATTGATATCAGTTATCAAATAATATAGACGAGTCATAATGTCAATATGTTAAAACATTTGTCCATTATATTAATTCTATATTATTAATCACTTTTCTAACATAGGTAAAATTTCTATTTATGTAACAAATGATTTTTTTTTCAGAAGATTAGTGGAAGAATCAGTTAAGGATATATCACTGCAAATTAATAAAGATGAAAACCAAACAAGTATACCATTAACATTAAATAAAACAATTACAAGTAAAACAATTGCATCTAATGAAGTAAAATTGCGACGACCTAATGTATCTAATGTAATGCAAGCAGAGAGTTCAAATAACACAGATGCAAATACTAATATGCATAAGAATAATGTAGATATTACAAACTATTCTACTAATAATGGTATTAATGATCGCGAACATTTGTCGTCTATTCATGATAATGATACTAATGTATGTACCACAAAAACTGCAGATCAACCTGCATTAAGTACAATGAATACCAAAGATTTTTCTAGACAAAATCAGTTGCAAAGATGTAATAATACTAAGGAGGATATTGAAAAGTCGAAAAGAAATGATAGATATTCGACATCTAACCAAAATCATTATAGTCGCAATCATAATGGTGCTATCAGGAAAACTATTCCTGATAAAGAAAAATCCGATAATAGTAATTTAAGAAACAAAAATTATAATAGTGATAGATCTTACCAAAAGAATGAACTGCAGATTGATAAAAAGCCTACTACTATCTACAATGACAGAGAAAATGGACTAGGAAGTAACTCTTCGAGCAGTAATACTATGGTGGATGAGGAATTAATTTTCTGTAAAGATACATATTTATCAAAAACAGAATTCACAGAAGTAAAAATTTTAATATCATTGGATAATGATGAGTATTGGGTAGTCACTTTAAAGGATTCAGATACGCGTACGAATCTAATGACAAAGTTACAAGACGTTGCAGGAAAAACACGTAACGTGCAACCGATTATCGATGGTGTTTATGCTGTACTTTTTGGAGGTATTTGGCACAGAGCTGTGATAATATCTTTGAATCCTGTAAAAGTTCATTATCTCGATTATGGTTACGATGAAACATTAAAACAAGATGCCGAGATCAGAGGTATACCTAGAGATATGATTAAAATTCCTCCTCTTGCTAGAAAAATTCGCTTGACACCAGCCGCAAGATATAAGAATTTCCGATATGACGACATAATCTTTGTTAAAATGTTGTCTATAGATGCTCATAAAACAATTATAGTAGATGTGAGAGAGCAATCAGAACATTTATTTTCACCTGTAAAAAATGCTTCAAATAAGAATACAACAGAAAAATTTGTACGACAAGAAAACGTACAAGCATCAAATGAAAATCTAAAGGCTTCTAAGGTACAAATATCTAGTATCTTAAATGCTTTTGCTGATTTATTCACTCAGAAAGCAGTTTCTGAATTAGAATTTACGGGTCTCATACAAATTCATGGATGTACACAAGAGAATATTTATAGTGCAAGTTTGCTTATTCAAAATTTTGACACTGAACTTATGAACGTTTTAAGTTGTTTAGAAACGGATTGTGCAAACGCACAAGAATCTGCACATTATAAGTAAGGATATTATATGTACACACAAATATATATTTAAAAAATATTTTATATTGATTAATATTAAAGATCTATAAATACATTTACTATATATTATATATAATAGATATATATAATAGATATTATATAAATATTACATAAGTACAGATAGTTGGAATGAATAGAAATATTTTTTTTAGACCACAAGTGGAAGATTTGTTATGTGGCGAAGCAAAAGATAATATGTCCTGGTATAGAGGATACATCTTATCATCTTCGACATCATCTGATTTACGTATTATTGCAATAGATGAAGCTCGAATTATGGAAGTAAATAAAATTATACCATGTCCTGAAAAATACTTAAACATTTATGCTATTGGGGTAATATGTGAAGTAAGCCATCCTAATCAATTGGAAGTGAGTAATCTTTATTTTATATATTATATAAGATATATTGCTCGCTCGTGCGTGCGCGTACACGTACATACACATAGACATACGTGTGTTAAAATATTCTATTAGATTGCCCAGAAAGTTATTACAGTTTTTGTTGTTTAAGGTTTGACAATTTTTTTCATATAAAATGTCTTTACGTTAATGTTATATATTACATTTTAAAGCACAAACTTCGCTCTACATTTTGATAATGATTGTATTTTTGATCATGATATCTTGATGTCTGTCTTTTTACATAATGTTTTTGATACTGGTTTGTATTTTATTAATAATTATGTTTCTGATATTAGTTTGTGTTTTAAGAAATCACAATAACTTATTGGAGAATCTAATATTATACATACAGTTAAAATATTGTAAAATTTATTTTAAATGATTATTTTATAAAATAATTATTAAAAATCTATATACTAAATTTATAAAAAAAAATAAAAAATTAAATAAGAATCAATTTTAAAGAATATATGTTATCTATATATATATATATATATATATATATAATAATATATGTATCTTAAGGGGTTAATATATAGTAAGTCGAAAAAAATGTATTTTTGGCAAATTAAAAAAAAACTTAGGTATTTTTATTTCATCGATTTTTTATCATAATATATATCTATCAAAGAAATTTTCATAATTTTTTTCAATTAAAAATATCGAGAAATGTAGGCACAGTAGCTGTTTTCCAGAGACATCTTTTTTTCGGAGGCGCTTGGCAGTGAGCAAGATTACTCAGAGCTAGATCATCTGAAATAAAAAATTCAAAAGGATTTAGCTTTCGTATGAATTGATCTAGTTTGTGAGCGAAGGATTTTACAAAAAATTGATTTTTGACAATGTGACAGATGTTTGATGCAAAAATACGAATTTTTTGTGTTAAAACTTTTTGTTCTTTTGTTAATAAAAAAAAGGTTTCATCAAAATTAAATTCCCTTCGCTCACGAACTAGATCAGTCCATACGAAAGCTAAGTCCTTTTGAATTTTTTATTTCAGATGATCCAGCTCCGAGTAATCTTGCTCACCGCCAAGCGCCTCCGAAAAAAGATGTCTCTGGAAAATAGCTACTGTGCCTATATTTCTCGATATTTTTAACGGAAAAAATTATGAAAACATCTTTAATAGATATATATTATGATAAACAATTGATGAAATAAAAATACCTAACAGTTTTTTTCGACTTGCTGACTAGATATAACCCCTTATTTAGAGAGAGGGGGAGAGAGAGGGGGGGGGTTATAGAATAGGTTGTATACTTTATTTATATATGTGTTATATAAAAGTTTAATTTTAATTATTTTGTTATATTGTTGCAAGGTGGGAATATATCCATTCACAGGAATTATGAATGAACAAAACCACAAGCAAGAAAATCTTAAAATAAAAATAATTAAAGACTCCAAACTTGTGGACTCTAAATTCGAGGCTATAATAAAGTCCTGGAAATCTATGATAAATAACTCTGATAAATCGTCAGTTGCATTTTCCGAAATAAAGAGTGGATCTCAGGTTTGAATATTAAACATGTTTAATGTTAAAATATATAATCTCTAATTAAATAAAATAATATTTTAAATTATAGTTAGATGGCAAAAGTAAACAGATACATCCAAAGAGATATAAATAGTTTAACAATTATAATATTATACAGAATTTATTTGTTTGCTCTATTTGTTTCTATCTAGTTCAAATTTCTATTTATTTTCTATTATGTAGACATTTCGGAAATAAAAAGATATATATTTAAACAATGAGAGATGAAATCTGTTTACTCATCTTACTCTAGTTCATATTTTGAAGTATTTTGCATGTGTTGATTCCGTTATTTTCATTGATTATTTTAGATATGTCTTACCAGTTATCGAAATCATTATTATATGTTTGCGCGTTCTTTGGATGAAGAGGCAGTAGAATATTATAACAATATCATGCAACGTGTTGCGCAATGCGCACGAACAGGTAAAATAATTGATTAATTAATGTATTAATTAATAATCAATTAATTAATTAATGATAACGAGGTAATTATTTATTATTTAATATTGATCAATTGTTTTGTCCTCTTTGCAGCACCGTATCTATCTGATCCTCCAAAGAATAAGCAAGCAGTTATCGCGCCATTCTCTGATGGCAATCGTTATCGCGCGTTGGTCATAAAAATACAGAATGATAAAGCACAAATAGTATATACAGATTTTGGAAATGTGGATGAAGTTAACATAAAAGAACTTCAAATTTTACCGGAAAACTTGGCACTGGTCGGTGGCATATACATATTCTTATACACTAATGAAAAAATATATTAACTCGAATATCAGTTTAATTTCTTTGTCTATACATTTTTTTTATAGCAACGAAGTTGTTCGGCAAAGATAAGTTTAAAAGATGTTCCTTCCGACATTTCTATGAATACAAAAGTAGATCTTTTCCTTCGCGAGTTAGTAGGCAATGAAACACCCCTGAAATGTGCATATGAGGGTGATTCATTGAAAAATGGAGTACATTTGACGATGCCTACAAAAGAAAGTGTTAATGATAAGATAAAGCAGTTATTAATACCAACTTGGAAGCAAAAGGACCAGGGTAATTAATTGTAAATTAAGAGACATGCCTAGAAAGTAACATATTTTATTCATTCAAAATTTGTACAAATGTACTATATATAAATATATCACTTTGTTGCCTAATATTTTTCAAAATATAGTTTTTTAAATTTTAGTATGCAAAATACTCTTCAACAAAATTGGCTAAGAAAAAATATATTAATGTACACAATATAATTTTACATATATGCTATCATACAATATACAATATATAATTTTTATATAATTATATATTAAATATTTACCTGTTAAAATATGGATTATAAATTTATTTTTTTTCTGATGCAGACAACACTTGCTATATGCTAAACGATATAAAAGTTGCCGATTTAGGAAGTGAGGGTGATATAGTAACTGCACTGATATTACATATACAGGAAGCTAACATATATATGATGGCTCCTTTTGATGTCGAATTGCAGACTCATATTATCCAAGTGATGCCTAAATTGGTAAATATTGACTAAAAAGTATTTATGTTTTTGTATAATACACATGTAATAATATCTTATTTTGTTCCAGTTAAGGGAATATTGTGAGAAAGCAGAATATTATATACCTAGAAAAGAAGAATTATGTTTGGCACTGTATGAGAATGAGTGGTATCGTGCAGTATGTATGGATCCAAAACAATCCTATACTACAGCTAACATTTTCTACATTGATTATGGGAATATGGCAGAAGTGGAACATAAGAATATAAGGTTAATGCCTAAAGATTTCATTACACCTGCGGCAATGGCAAATTTGTGTACAGTTGTCAGTAAGTATTAATTTCAATAAATATAAACAAATAATTTTTCCATTATTCAAACTTTGTACTGTTTATTACAGATTTGGCACCTGTCGACGATTCAGGCAATTATTCACCTGCCATACGACAAAAACTAGCAGAATTAATACAACCTAACTCGATTGTGAAAATTAAAATCGTGAAGTTTTCGGAAAGCGGAGATTATGAGATAGAATTGGTTGATGTTAAAAAAACGTTAATAGAAGAAGGTCTCATACCATCATGATCTATAATTGGAAGCCTTTCATGAATTTTATTTTTTTACATATATTATTAAGGATTGTATGATCTTGCGGAAAGATTAAGATTTCACTCTTTTATTTTAAATCCTTATATTGATTCACACACACATAATTCTATTGATATTTCTTATTTGTTTTAAATTATGGACAGTCATATACTCGATTACGAGATATTATGTTCGATTTTTAGTTTCAATTCATCATGTGCGTTTTTAAAGCAAGCAGTTTTATTTTCCATGCGTATGTTTAATGTATTTTGCATTTTGTTTAAAAGATAATTATTTTCATATTTTTTATCGCATATTCTGGTTAAATATGGAAGAAGAATTTTGCAATTTATTAATAAAAAATTTAACTCAATATTTTTTCATTTTTTTATTATATAAATTTTCCCTATATTTTCCTATATTTATGATTTTAAATTACTTTTCTATATTTTATACGATATCCAATTTATGCAGTTAAGGACGGATTTATATAAAATTGTCTAGAAAAAAATGATCACACGTATACTAGCTGGTTATAGCTGTATAAAATTTATATTAGATGTTTAATCGATTGATTTCTTTAAACATGTATCATGTATAACTATGTAAATCCATCTGAAATATCTGAATAAATCTTTGTTATATTGCGATTTCTTCTAACCTATCTTACAACAGTCCTATCCTAACCTTTCTGAATGTGTCACTTGAGTGCGATTGTGTTAGCTCAGATGACATATTTCCCGAGGAAATCTCGCCGTTCGCAAAATAAAAGGCTTCCAAGAGGTAAAGGCAGCGAGAGTAAAATAATGAATGTACAAATAAGACATCCCTATGAGGGTCTACTGCACAAATACACGAATGCTATGAAGGGCTGGCAGTATCGTTGGTTTATCCTGAGTCCCGAGACTGGTGAATTACATTACTTTCTCAGCGAATCTGAGAAGAATCAAAGGCCACGGTGTTCGATATATTTAGCGGGAGCCGTTATAGCCCCCAGCGATGAAGATTCAAACACGTTTACAGTTAATTCTGCTACAGGTAAATATCAAATATTTAAATTAAAGTTTAAATCAAAATTTCTATATACTTATTTTTCGTGTAAATTTTGCATAAAATAGATGTATTAATTAAGATTTTAGCTTTCAAGTTTATATTTCTTATCTAGGTGACATGATCAAACTACGAGCTACGGATGCAAGAGCACGTCAGGAATGGGTGGATAAACTCCGAGCAGTTACAGAGATGTATACCAGAGCTATAGCCAGCAGCCATCCTCCGTTGCCACCTCGAGAACATTCTGGGAATTCAAGCAGGAATCCTGTCGTTAAACTGGAAGTGCTAGATGCTTTTGCCAATTGTCAGGAACAATTAAGAAAAGTGGAAAAACACAATCTTGCTCTAGCACAGTCAATCGAGAATTCAGATTTATATTTGGATTCAGATCTCTTAGTTCTTAAAGCCATGGCACACACCACCTTACATACATTGAGTCAATGTCTGAATATATTATATCAATAACAAATTAAAATCATATATTTTTTATGTTTACTTATTAATATCAAAATTTTTTATACTTATAGAAGTGCACATACATAATAGATTATCTTTCTATTAAGAGGTCCATATGTAACTTTAACAATTATTTATATTTATCTATGATTATATATGGGGTTGGTTTTTTCAGATGATTTTATAATTTATTAAAAGCAAAATTGATATATCTCTTATCGTTATATTGTGAACGATTTTTAATATTTAAAACAATTTTATTTTTACAAAAAGCTAATTTTTCACATATCTTATAAAAAAGATGCTACAAATTAGTAAACTCTTATGCCACTTCTATATAACAAAAGAAAGTACCAAAGTTATGTCATCAAATTTATTCCAAACTTTAATTGTAGATTCTTTAAAAGATTATATATTAATACATATATCATTACACGTTATATAATAAAAAACAAGAATATTTTTTTATATTGAAATTTTCTTACTTCCTATAATCTTATTATTGATTTAATTTGTTTTTATTCTTCTTGATTAATATATTTAGAAATTATATTATCTGAATCCGGTCCAGTCAATGACAATCTTAGTATGTATGTTCTTCCAATTTTAAGATGTACAAATGAAAATGTAAGATATTATTTAGATAGATTGTCCTAAAATATAATAATTCTGCTAGGGCTTTGTGCAAAGCATGGATGTGTCTAAAGTTTATTCTGCAAATAATTATTCTTATATTTTTTCTGTGCTCTAAATAATACTTGATTTGTTAAGATAGCAAATGTCAAGTATACATGTAAGATATATTGTCATATTTATTTGTCTTATAAAAATATGTGTATTAAGACAATTGTTCTGTTATAAAATTTTAAATTAGCATATTATAATTTTCTCTATTATAAAACAGAAAATTTTGTTTAATTAAAATCTTATTTCATTTTTTCCCCCTTTTATAAAAAAATCATTATATACAGATATTATAATACAAGAGTTTTAAGCACGGAATTGATCATTTCTAATGAAAAAAAATATTTTATTTCTAAAAACATCGTGTGATATAAGAGGAAGAGATGGTATATTGATCATCATATGATGTAAGATCCAATGTCAAGAGCGTGTAAATAGGTGAAGGTAAACGAGTGACTTTTCTCTCTCGTCGAGAGATCAGACGTGATCAGTTCCCGAGTAGTAGAGATCTTGCTAAAGTTACTTTGTAGATCAAAATGAAGCAACACGTTACGCGATAAAGTTAACATTTTTTACTAGTTAATTGCGATTTATTTATGTTTGAAAAGAATTTAAAAATATTAATTTATTCTCCTGTATTCTTACAAAAGATTTATATTGTAGAAGAATGTGGAGTGATTTTTATCTGCGATAATAATCTTATATCATGTCGCGTATCTCTTATCCTGAATTTTTAACGGAAGCGGCAGGTGTGAAGATTGTAACATCTTTACCCGAAGAAGATTCTCTCCTATCAGGAAAGATAGTTCTTAAAATGCGGAAAATAAACACAGCATCGGACATACATGGTAAATCTTGCGGATTTCATTTGACCAAGTCAAAATGGGATCCCTATCCGTGGATTGGCTATGTCGAAAAGAATAGTCCTGCCGATTTAGCAGGATTGAGGTGAGTTTATTTAAGTTTTTTAAAATATTAATAGAAGAGTAATTAATTGTTTTAAGATTTTGGATATATCATTGAAGTAATGCATAATCAATAATTTATAATTGTACAATGAAATACAATTAAATGTGTTAAATTTTATATTAAAAAATGTATATAAGTAATTTTATTGGCGATTCACATGCATTTACTATGTTTTATCAGAACCGGCGATTGCCTGTTGAGCATTGATAACATCGATTTATTGGGACTAAAAGTCAAAGATATCGCTGCTTTAATTCGTAGTGAAGGAGATGATATAAATTTTTCCATCTGGCGATATCCGCGTCAAAAAGAGGAGCATGATATTGGATTAGCTTTAAAGGGTCCACTTCCGGATGTGGCGAGGAATCTTGCAAATGCTTTATCAGGAACGGTATATACTATTTATTTTTCTTTGTTTTCCTATTTTTCAAATATTGTAATTAATTATTAGCTTAGCAGACTAATTTAGCGTTAAAACTTTAATGGTAACACACAAATGTGGTTTTTTCTCTTTCGTTGAAAGATAATGCATTTTAATTACTTACATTACGAAAAAAATCAAATTATTCATTCAACTTTTTTTTAGGTTCGTGCCTTAGAATGCCCGATTTGCTTGGAAAGTGCTGCACCTCCAGTTTCGCAATGTGTTCATGGTCATATCCTGTGTGTTATTTGCAGACCGAAGACATCTCGTTGTCCGGTTTGCAGAGTTCGTTTAGGTCAAGGCCGATGTCTTCTCGCAGATAAATTACACACAGTACTTCGCGATGCTTTTAACGTGAATAATGATGAGACATTAAATAAGACACCTGTCGCATCCGAACATTGTAACTTACGCGATCAATTGTTCGGTAAAAATAGTAAAAAACGAGAAACCCCGGTCGTAAGCAGTTCAAAAAATAATTGTACCATGTTGAAACCGAGGCAATTCTTGTTAACCAGATTACTCAGAAATAGAGAAAAAGCTGTTTCCGCTGACAATTTAACTAGAGTATCCGAAATTTCGGAAGAAGCAGCGGCGATTCCCGATGAAACGACAGACGCCAATAATGTACGATTGTCCTTGAACGATCGCACCAAATCAGCTAGTACTGGTGAATTGTCGAGGGACAGCCAAACTCGTATCAATGATTCGTCTTCGCAAATTATGGAATTATCTGCGAACACCAGTCGACAGTCGTTGAGTTTGCCACAGACACCAATTTGGGGCGGTTCTACGGATTCTATATCCTGTATACAATTGACATGTCCTCTTTTGCAATCTTGTAGAGAACTAGTAACGGCCGATTCACTGTTGGAGCATATCAGGACACACGCGTTACCGCAAATTCATTTTTACTCCGGAAGCGCAAGGATCCCTCTACCGCTTCCTTTTGGACATGATGCTTTTTATATATTTCATCACGAAAATAATATATTCTTCTTTCAGGTATAATACTTCTGCCTTCAAATAATTTCTCTCTATATTTGTTTTGAGAAATATTTTAATTTTTTAATCATTAAGTCTTTGCGATTAATCTTCTGCTTTAAAGAAGGCGATAGAAGATGATAGAAATGAATTCGAAGTTTATATTTCCACTCAGACTCACATACATACGTTCCTGTTGGAATCACGTCCCTGTAGAAGTAATATTTATTAGTTTCATTTTTATCAGATAAATAATTAAATATTTGTCATTTGTCTTAGCTTTTTTTAAATATTCGTATGCGTTTAAATTGTATGCAAAAGCAAAATAAGAAAAGATAGAAAATGTATTAAATATATGAGAGAAGTTTGATCATATGTATATAGATTATTTTTCTGATTACCAGACTTGCTAAAAATATTATATATGATATAATCAACAAAATGAAATCTTAAAAGTATTGCAAAAATTAATATAATATACTATCTCTTTTATATAGCAAGATAATTTGAATATATATATCTCTTACAAGAGATTATTCGACTTATATTATTAATACAAGTGAGAATGCATATGGGATGTTTACTTACAACTAATATAAAAATCATGAATTTTTTTGATATAATTGCAGTGCAAAGATGAGACAGCATGCATGACATATCCTGTTAAAATGGCAGGATATGCAATAAGCAACATATGGGAATGGACATTGCATGCTTGGGGTGACAATGGTACAGAGGTGCAATTACGAAGACACGTCGCAAGTCTCGAAGATCCTTTAACATTATCTTCACAACATATTGCACCATTACCAACTGCATTATTATTGAAGACCATTAATATACAAATATCGGAGCATCGGGCTCACGATAGATTATATGTATGAAAAGAACAAATTTGTTCTTAATAATATTTACTTCATTGATAATGAAAACTTTATTTTTAAAAAAGTAATAAAATTGTTTATTTCTTATTGATGTGCCAAATTAACAAGTGAGGAACACATCATAATAGTATGTTATCTTAAATATAAGATATAAGTAAAAGATTAAAATCTAATTTATATAAACACATACATTAAAAGAGTAATACTACATCATACGAAATAAAAAAACATGTTTAATATATAATATTTGACATGCGAAAATTTAATTTAAAATCATTGATATTCATGAATATTCATAAATCTGCAATTATGATATTTCCCATAATGCATTATAATGCTTAATATAACTTTCATTTGATAAAATAAAAGTACTTTTTATTATATTTAAAAACTGTTATTAATTGTAAAAGCAGAAAACATTCATCATCAATGACATGTGACTTAATTTCTGTAATTTAAGAATAGTTTGATGATATTTCATGAATATCAATTCTCAATTATGCATTAAAATCACACAAATGTAGACATTATTTTTAAAACTTAATAGGACAAATAAAACAAGAGAAAAAAGCTTACAATTTATAATAATAAAACATGCTTTTCTATGAAATATAAAAATCATAAAAAAAAAATGAAACTTAAGGTCATCTTGACTTAAAGGTCATCTTTTTATGGCATTTTACGCAATATCTCATCCATATATGGTTTATAGAATTCATATTGACCAGTTTTTATTGCTTGACCAGCCATAGTATCAAATGCATGCTTAAGAACTGACAAATAATTTTCTTTGCCAACAACATTTAAATTAATGTTATAAATATGTTTGTCATTTGATGATAGCATCTTTTTATTAGATGGTAAAGCAACATTACTAAGCTTTCGTTTGGAAGGCAAGTCTGTTTCTTCCTCTTTTAATTTATCTCGTTTGGGACAACTACATACTCTAATTAATAATTTTTGACGGCCCAAAACTACTCCAATTTGATTTTCTAAAGTAAACACTAATTCTGTCGGTCTACGATTCAAACCAGATACGCAACTATTTTTGCAAAGAAACTTGAAAGATATCGGCATATATTGCGACCCAGCCTCAGGTGTGCAAAGTGGTGTTAAGACAGAAAAATTTTCATTTCTTTCCTCGTAAATGCTTGAAGCATGATTAACACAATGAACCACATGTTTAATCCTTTGTGGATCCATGTTTTGATTAATGGAATTACTTGGTGCCATATGATTATGGCATCTTTTTACTGGTTCGTTTCTATGTTGTTCCAACATGAAGACCATTGTAGTACGCAAGTACAAACCTGACACAAGTGGTTCCCACGTGAATCGCATGGGTAAAACTTTTTCCATTTTGATATAGACTTTTCCCAATTGTTCAGAGTACTATATGCAAAAAATCAACAAAAATAATTATTTTATGATACTAGTATGAAGTTTCTATATAAAATAATAATATAATAATATTATATATATATATATATATATATATATATATATATATATATATATATTACACAAGAAATTATATAAATTCTATTTTATAAAATGTAATTGTTAAAAATAATATCATGCATACTCGATACACATTTACAATTAATCTGTTTACTATACAAAAACTCTTAAACTTGTATATGAAATCTACTTAAACATGATTTTATTCTAAATATAGTATCATATTTTTTTGTACAAATTTAATTATATTTATAGTCAGGTTTAAGCAGATTCATATACTTTTGCAACTATGCTCAAAGAGCACAAATTCCTAAACAAGATGTCTTACTTTCAGTATCCTCCCACAGTTTTATGAATATTCCATATATAAATTATATAACCAGAGGATTAAAAACTAATCAATGGATCAATTTATCATCAAGAGGCAGAATTTATCTGCAAGTAGGTATAAATATTTCATAATGGCTTCATGACTTCAACTAACTCACAAGATATACAAATTTAAATATTTAATCTTTCTGTATATCAAATTATATAATATTGAGTTATATAATTTAATCCCTAAGAACATACATGTCCAAAAGACATCCATAGAATATCTAGAAGACAGCCAAAGGATATTTTATATCCTCGATGATCTCTGGATATCTTTTGGACATGTGTGTTGTTTGGGATATATTTATATATAATATAAAAAATTGATTAAAATACTTACCAACCAATCCTGACCAGCACCACCAGTTCCTAAACTGCACTGGAAATTCAAATGATTGTAAATGTCGTCAGTGAGCATTGTAGAAAACATATGTTCCTGGACAGATGCTGGATACATATTTTCTTCTTCTTCCTCTTTTAATTTTTTAAATTTTTCTATAGGCTGTAGTCCATATGTACTATTATATGTACCAATCTTTTCTGGGATAGGAAGCAGTTCTCCGTTTACACTTTCCGGTAAAGGTAACGTACCTCCACTTTAAGGACAAAAAGTATTTATTGTATGTATTGATGTGTACTCCTCTCTTTTTAAATGCGTTATATAAAATAAAAAAAGACAACAATAACAGAATATATAAATTCGAAAAAGACGCTACAATAACCAAAAGCCGACAAAGAATTGTAATAATTACAAATTATACTTACAATTGCTGCTCTATATCTTTATAACATTCCTCATCTATCAATGCTGATTCCTGAGAATCTGACATAATATTCGTGTTCGTCATGTTTATAAATTTTTACTTAAAAATTGATCCGGAAAGACAATGTACCGCAAACATCCACCATTAACATCGATTGCCCTTCGACGAGATCCTTTTCCTTTTTATTCTTTGTTCGTATGATCGAGAAAACGGAAATGGGATGCTGTAACTATGTATACTTGCTGATTGGTGCTTACACGTTCGATGTCTATGATTGGCTGTTGATTTCTCATTGGATTGGAGGATTTTAAATATCATCTAAATTATAATTATATATATTATTAATATTATAATATATATAATATTAATATTGTATGATAATTTCATCTATAACATGAAATATCATTTTTAAGAAGATTAAAATACGTTTTTTTAACTACGTAAGAATAAATTGTATTTTAACCTATTGTCAAAATAATGGCCAAAAAGATTATAATATTTTCAATGTAATGTTAACTGAATATCTCTAATGTTATTTACTAATTAAATAAATATTAGTTTCCTTATTTGGCAAATATAACTGATGTTTATTTGATTTTTCGCGCGGATTATAATAACGGAAGCATCCTGTGAAAGTTTCGAAACGTTTGATCGACCAATCAGAATGAAGGGGACAAATATTTCTTTATTTTGATTGGTCAAAATTTCACCTTCATAGCATCAAACGGTGCTCATTTTTAAAAATATGTTTGTATATATTTGTTACAGTATTTGTTACAACTCATTAGTAATTTGTTTACTTTTATTTGGTGTTATTTCGAGGCATTCGATCGACTATACGAAAATTTTTGCTCTTTCTGGGAAATCATTGGATTCGAAGCCAATTTGTAATACTATGTGGAGCGAATGAAGTCTCTAAGTTATTTCAAGTGTAAGTAATAAAATAATATAATTTAATATTTATAAAAATTTAGAGAGATATAGAGATTAACAGTTTTTTTTATTGAGTGCTGCTATGTGAAATTTTATATGTATTTATATGCATTTATTACACGGGAATTATATTTTATTATATTGTGTTTTAATTAAGAAAATATCATATATGTGATTAAACATATATACAGGATGTCCCATGACTGAAGGTCCATACTTTAAGGGCATGTTCCTAATGCCATTTAGAGTAAAAAAAGTCTAATAAATATATGTCCGCAAATGCTTACTAACAGAAATACAAGCATTGAAAGTTGATATAAATATGTGAAACATTTTCTATTAGTCTGTTATTGTTTATATTTTTATCAGCCTGGTATTGTTTACATTTTTAATCTCACAATAGGGATGAACTTTTAAAGTATGAACCCTTAAAGTATGAACTTTCAGTCATGGAACACCCTGTATATGATTTTTTTAAATATCTATTCAAGTTAATTATTATTATTATTATTATTATTTATTAATATATATTAGCATTTTTGAGGCAAGTTTAAGAGCGATTAGTGACGTTATAAATTCTGTTTTGAGTTACTAGGAGTATTTTGATTATTAAATTACTTAGTGACATACATATTTCAAGCATTTGATTGATTAATCAAGGCAAAGAATTTTAAACTAAAAACATATGTTCGTGGTAAATAGGATTTAATCGCTCTCGAAACGATCAAACCTCTCATAAGATCTGTTTTTTATTCCTGGACTAGACTGAACTAGAACTGAACTTGCACTGAATCAGTGCAAGCGAGAATTGAGAGGACAGGCGGGAATAAAAAACGCTCAAAGTGCAAAAATAACATGGCGTCACATATTAAATAAAATAAAATATATAAATTAAATAATATTAATAATATTATTTATTATTTATATATTATATATTATTATTTATTATATTATAAATTGTGAAAATGTTTATATCATAAATTTGAAAAAATTTTAATTTTAATATAGGATAATATAATATAAGAAATTCAGCTTTTATGTACATAGCATTCAAAAAAGTAATTTTCTTCTTATAACATATATATATATATATATATATATATATATATATATATATATGTGTATATATATCTTTGACACAAATCAAATGTTAAAAATATAGTATGGGTATTTCACATTACAAGATAATAATAAAGAATAATGTAATATTTATAACAGAATTTATACTTAGGCGAACAGAGAGAGATCATTCTGAATCATATAAATAACAAAAAAATACATACTATATGTATGTATTATATACTGAGAGTGTAGGAATGAAAAACAAATCTATTTATTGAAGCACACACATAGATGTGTTTCGATAAAAGTCGACGCGCATGCGCGTTGCTTTGTGGCGGGAACCGCCTGTGGCGGCGCCACGGCGAGGTACGGCGCCCGCTGGAAGTAAACGACTCCAATATGGCGAATGTGAGGGATAGCGATACGTCGTTGTGGCTGCATAACAAGCTCGGTACATCAAACGATAGCTGGACCGGCAGTTCGATCTGCTCGCAGCTCAATGCCGAGGTACTGCGGAACATCAAGGATTGTTTTCCCGACCTGCAAACGCAGGTCAAGCTCAAACTGCTCCTGTCATTCTTCCACATACCAAGGCGCAATGTGGAAGAGGTAAGCGCGCGTTTGCTCTCATCTGATATTTTCCCTCTGTCTTTTTCTCTTTTTCTCTCTTTCTCCCTTTCTCTCTCTCCCCTTTCATTAAAAGTTTGCTCTGTCGAAGGATGACCGTTCTGTGTAAAATTCGGAGACAATGACGCATTCGTTTTTTATTTAGTTCGTTTATTATTTACCGCTGTTTGATTTTTCCAAGAATGCGATGTTTTTGAGACGTTTAGTACACGTGGAGAGTATCTAATTAAGACTAATGTTTACAAAAGCTATCACTTTTTCTATTTGATAAGTTGAATAAATTGTAACTGTTATAAAATATATAACATATAATTTCAATTCTTTAAACATTGTCACTAAGGAACAATTCTAGGATCTTTCTTACTCTCTCTTTTGTAAAATCTTTTATTACAATTTTTTATCTGCATATTTGTGGATAACAGTGGCGTGTGGAGCTGGAGGAGATTATTGAAGTTGCGTCTTTGGACAGCGAGCTATGGGTATCGATGCTATCCGAAGCGATGAAAACTTTTCCATCAACTGGTTCTTTGAACACAGATATTACTGATTTAGATGAACATAGACCTATTTTTGGCGAACTGGTTAATGACCTTCGGAAACTTTTGAAGAAACAAAATGATCCTGCTATGCTTCCCTTAGAATGTCATTATCTTAACAAGACTGCATTGATCTCGGTAGTAGGTCAACAACCTACACCGGTCAAACATTTCACTCTCAAGCGAAAGCCCAAAAGCGCAGCCTTGAGAGCAGAATTGCTTCAAAAAAGTACTGATGCTGCTAATAATCTCAAAAAGAGTACCGCTCCCACTGTACCAGTAAGAAGCAGAGGCATGCCGAGAAAAATGACTGATACTAGTAAGTATAACGTTATAAATATTGAATCATTGTACAATATCATAGCAGTATACATTATTGTATTCAAATTTTTCAGCACCATTGAAAGGGATCCCAAGCAGAGTGCCAACGAGCGGTTTTCGATCTCCTTCACTTACGAGCACTTCAATGTCCAATAGAACGTCAATTAGTAGTAGAATCCGAAAAGATGGTGGTATTAAATTACTTGACATTAATGAGCAACCTCTCGGATACGCACAAGCAAAAAAGAGAAAGAGGATGCTGGAATTGGAAGAGCAGCAGAAGAAGGTCGCAGAAGCGCAAGCGGCTGCTGCAGCGGCAGCGGCTTCAGCGGTCCCGCCAGTCGCGGAAACTCCGGCAACTCCAGAATACGCGCAAGGACTAGCCTCGATAAATCCACCGGCTACACCGGTTGCACCACCAGTGGTTACGGTGCAATCTTATGTCGCGCCTAGTACGCCAAGCAGCATTTCAGTTACGACCGCACCACAAACACGTAAGATTGACTTCGTTAAAGATTATGTTAGTTTTTGTTTAGATTTCTATAAAATTATTTTATGTTACACAGCTACCACATTAACTACTCCTACAACGCCCACTGCTGTATTACCAGTAGTAGTTTCATCGACGGTGATAGCACCTGTAGAAAGTACACCTGTTGCTGTGCAAACAGTCAGACCAGCTCAAACAGTCACACAGATACGTATACAGACTACTGCACAACCTAATGCAGCAGCTAATACAAGAAAAGGCCTGTCTCTTACGGTAAGTTTATGCAAATTCCATTCATTTCATTCTTTGATCTTAAGTTTATATAAAAGTATTTGTTTAGCTATGTATTATTTTAATTAATGAGATATATTGTTGATAATGAGATCCTACTTATTACTGAATTACAGCGAGAGCAAATGTTGGAAGCACAAGAAATGTTTAGAACTGCAAATAAAGTAACACGTCCAGAAAAGGCTCTTATCTTAGGTTTTATGGCTGGGTCTAGGGGTATGTCTATTTTCCTCTGTATAGATTCATTATATCTCTTTTTTATCATACTGATAATATTATTGATTTTGTTTATAGATAATCCTTGTCCAAAATTGGGCAATATAGTTACAGTAATGTTATCAGAAAATATAGAAGAAGTGACGCAATCGGATGGCACAACCGTTCCGATGTTAGTCGAAACTCATTTCCAAATGAATTATACAAATGGCGAATGGAAAAGGATAAAAAAGAATCGACGTATTGTGACAGAGGAGTCCACGTCAGCGTCCACTCCTGCGCCGAGTGCGACTGCCACGGCTTCCAATTGAAAGAACTTGTTCAAATTGATATAATATGTATAAGATCTATATATGAAAATATTGTTTTGTGTGGTTATTAAGAAATAACGCACATTGTGTGATCATTCGTCTTCTTAGCGAAAAAGATAAAGACGATAAGTTGCTAATTAAGAGCTGATTCATGTTTCATAAGGTCTAACATAGAATTGTTATCAAAGTTCTTAACTGTCGTATTTGTTTTATCCCTTATAAATGATAAATAATTCCTTCATTCTTTTGCGTGTGCATCAATTCTAAATTTTTACTTTTCTTTCTACTTTGAAGTTTTGGTTAAACAAAAATAATTCATTAAGATATTCCTTATCTTTGTTGAATAGCATTTTTTAAGACATTTATGATATGATAGATTTATGATGCATATTAATATATATATATATATGATTTGGTAAAAACAATACAAAGTCTGAGAGTGTTGTGTATATGTATACACATGTGTGACTAATCAAACATTTTTTGAATGTGATTATGTATTGAAATCTTTATATTACACAGAAAGATATGCTTACATACTATATAAGTGTGTGTATACACACTCATTTAAAAACAATGAACATGAAATTTCTATAATGTTGTTACTTGAATAAACATGATTATATTAATATAAACATGATTATATTATCTTTGTTGTATGTGTGTGTGCTATACATATGTATATATATATTTTTTTTATAATTTACATTATGCATTTGGTAAACTATATTGTATTTCATTAATATTGCTCTTTTCAATCACTTTGTACACATGTCGTACAATAATTCTTTCTAAAAAGCACATTTTTCAAATTTAAATGTAAACTAATTTCTATTCTACTTGAATAAGTGTTGCCAACTTTTGCCTTTCTAATTTTATAATTATTTCTATATTTGACGATCGTAAATATTTCGTATGTTATTTGAATATTCATTGTAATATTTATATATAACGTAAACGTAATATTAGTATAAATGCGATAAAATTTATGGAGAGTTTATTCTTGCATCTCAAAATATTTCGTAACCTCTTCGTTCCCGCGCGAGACTGTTGGTTGCGGAATATGCATATTAAAAAAAGTGAATAAAAGGTTGGCGAAACTTATCATATTTACAGTACAAGATTTCTTCGAATCTACGATTCTACAAGTCTTGCAAGTTCTACAAATAATTGTATCGCAAACCGATCTTCGTTTTTACAATGTTTCGATCACTCGCCCCATTATACCTGCAAGGTAGAAAATTGGTAAGCATCAAATTTATTGCATGTTCTATCATGTTTTGATTAAAATTATATATTTATGCATTTTGCCGATTCATTTCATGCAAACATGGTTATAACAATAAATCTCAAATAATATACACCTCGATACAAGTGTAAAATCCGTTTTATAAGTGTTGATTCATGACAACATCAAGATAGAATTTTCTATTTGTTATTTTATGTGTCAATAAAGAAGAAACATTTGAAGAAATAAAAATTTACATATATACCAAATAGATATGAGAATATATATATGCATTAGAGAACACATAGTATGATTTTATTCTAAGGATTGGCAGAATTATTTAAATGTATATATGTTAATTCTTATTGTACTTTCTAATATATTAGTTACTTTTCATAGCATTATACATGTGTGAGATGATCGACAGGTTGAAAAGACTTAAAAAAAAAAATAAATACATAGAACATAAAATTATAAATAGATTTGAATGTTATCATGAATCGCTTAAAGTATTAAGTTTAATTCTCGCTGTTTTAATGTGAATATATTTACAGCTTGTCACTGCAACTGGATCATTGGCAAAGACAAATAACACACTGGTGGCAGAATGTATTCGTAATTTTACAGTGAGTTCAAAGTTGCTTAGCAATTGGCCACAAATTCAGAAACCTGCACCAGAGTTTTCTGGTACTGCAGTAGTTAAAGGTGACTTTAAGGAAATTAAATTAAGCGATTATAAGGGAAAATATGTGGTTCTCTTTTTCTATCCATTAGACTTGTAAGTAATTTTGTTTAAATTATTATTTATTGTTTCTATAATATGTCCATAAGTAATTGTTATCTTTTAATTGCAGCACATTTGTTTGTCCAACGGAAATTATAGCATTTAGTGAAAGAGTCTCTGAATTTGAGGCATTAAATACACAAGTCATTGGAGTTTCAACAGATTCGCATTTCAGTCACTTGGCATGGATCAATACACCTAGGAAACAAGGTGGCCTTGGAGGAGATTTGGGTTATCCTCTTCTAAGCGACTTTAACAAAGAAATAGCCAGTAGATACAATGTTTTATTGCAAGATTCGGGAATTGCACTTAGAGGTCTCTTTGTCATAGACAAGGAGGGAATTCTTCGACAATTTAGTGTCAATGATCTTCCAGTTGGTAGAAGTGTTGATGAAACATTGAGATTGATCAAGGCCTTTCAATTTGTTGAGAAGCATGGAGAAGTGTGTCCTGCAAACTGGCAGCCAGATTCCAAAACTATTAAACCAAATCCAAAAGACAGCAAAGAGTACTTTAACTCAGTTAATTAATTTAGGTAATATATTTATTGATTTCTTTAAAAGACAGGCATATGTACGATAGATTATATTATAATTTGATATGATACATATAATTAGAAAATGTGTATAATAGAGATGATTAATATTTCAATTACTTATATAGAATGAACAAAATCAAAAAACATATATCATAAAACAATCTATCGCATTTATATGCTCCTTTCATATCACATCTTACATTCATTTTTTTGCATAAATTTATGTGTGAAGAACTTAAGAGAAATCCAGATGATATAGATAATTTATAGAGCAGATATCGAATGTAAAAAAACAGAAATTCTCTTGAATTGGTTAAATTAATCAAATTGTTGTTTAATTAATATTTTTTCTAGAATGTTTTATGTCAGATCTTTCCTATTTGTGATTGCAAAAGATAAATACATTTACAAATTATAACAATTTAATTTGATATGATACATATAATTAGAAAATGTGTATAATAGAGATGATTAATATTTCAATTACTTATATAAAATGAACAAAATCAAAAAACATATATCATAAAACAATCTATCGCATTTATATGCTCCTATCTATTCAGAGAATTATATAATAATTTTAGACAGAATTTTAAAAATTGGAATAAAATTCTCTACATTTGAAGACCATTTTATTTAAAAATTATAGAAATTATTAATCTCACTTTTTTCATTTAAAGACTGAGTTACAATTGGAATATTATACTTTGTGATTTTAAAAGAAATAATCTGAAATATGCATGTGTGTGTACTTTAAAATGCTACAGATTAATAAGAGATCTTTATTTTTATGATGTGTGTATATATATACACAACTTAAAAATTTCAGTATAATGTCAATTTATATTTTTTCTAATCAAGACTATAAAATATATCCTAATTAATTTTTAAGTTAATTTTTATATATGTATCCATACAGTACATATGTAGGCACACAAATAATAGTATATATTCAATAACATATGGCATCCTGCAGTTTTAATCTTTTATGTTGCGGAAAAGAAATGTTTAAATTTATATAAATAATATCTTACTTTTTTATAAAATGTTCAATATAAATATTTATATTATTTTTTTCACAAGTTATTTCTCAACGATGATTGTTCAATTCACGTTAAAATGTAATGTAGCGTAGAATATGAGCAATTAGCATGGTTACTAAAATTACATTGCAATACGAGAGCGAGATGTACATATGCGCGGATGCCATAAGATAATTAGAACGCAGCGCGAAAGGTAGATGACGGAATTAAAAGCCGTTATAATGTCAGCGGGTAGGTAAGCTGGCAGGTGCGCTGTTGGCGCAGGCTGCCACTTCTAAAAGCTGCTCATGATAAATTTAGTAGAGCGAGCTTATTATTTCGTGAGGAGGAGAGAGAGGATATACACGCGTCTTGGGGCACCACGCCGGCTCGGGGAACGCCCCGGGAAGAAGGGATAAAGTAACCAGAGACGAGAGCCTCGGGAAGCAAAGAGTCGGGGCGCATCGTACGACGGGAGATCGCGAGAGGGAGAAAAACTGCTGAAAAGCGACGCCTGAGATAAACGGCTCATCCTCCATTCCCTGCGCCTCCGCCAAATCCAATCCTGGTACGCCATCCCCGCGCGTGCTTGGAAATCTCGAGACTAATCACATTCGCGTCACCGCGTAGCGTGTTCGCGTCTCGCGGTACAGTCGTATGCCGACAAATTGTATGTCGTAGCGACGCGGTTTCATTATCGTCGCAAAGCGTAAAATAGGAAAAAAAGAAATTACTCCGGTGATACAGAGATACAGGGTTTACAGGTTTTACTTGGATAAAACGGAAAATGGAATTTCTTTTTACTTTCGCGTACATACATTTGTCTTTATTATTTTTTGAAAAGCGATATCAAATCTTGATGAAAAGATAGGAAAGTAAGGTAGAAGTAAATGCACGATTGCATTTTTTTTATTTCTATTTTTATTTTTATTACTTATTAGTTTGCCAGCAAACACAGAATATTGCAGCAACATTGCTGCAGTGTTGTAATATTGCTGCAATATTCTGTGTTTGCTGGTTGTTTTAGACCCATACAGCACACAACATTGCAACAATATTGCGACAATATTACAATATTGTAATCTTGCTATTGTAGCAACATTACAATATTGCCGCAATATTGCTGTAATGTTCTGTATGCGGAGGAAGCAAAGTGGTTATTTTTCGACTTATAGATTTTATTAGTATTTATTTACATCGATATATGCACATTTTGAATGAAGGGTAATATTATTCGTAGTTTTCTGAAATAATTTGCTTTGTACTCTGTAGCCAGGGGCAGGGGAAATTGCAATCATAATTGTCCGATTCACCATTATATTTTGCCGATTAAGTGGTCAGATTATATCGGCATTATGTTGCAGAGTCTAATCGAGGGATTTCTTGTCCACCGCCCTTGGTTTACGGTTCTTCTATTGTGGGACAGTCGAGCGTGTAACAGTAAGGTTTCGAGTCCTAATTGTGCCTGCGCCCTACGCGATCTTAGCAAGTGCTATACTAATTTTTATTTTATCGAACATTGTTATCTTAACGGTGAATAAAATTTATCTAGATCCGATGGTCTCGCTCTTAAGGCTTCACATATAAGCAGAAAAATGACATTCATAATATTTAGATTAGATTAATATATTGAATGATAATTAAATTGCTCTGATAAAAATAAAGTACATATTATTTTCAGAGTTTCGTGTCAAATTTATATACATTTATGGAAAAATTTAATATAGCAAATTGTCATGATAACGATTCTTATTGATCTTCTTCCTCTAAAGAATCTTTATTATTAACGCATTGGACATATCTTTAGCACTTTAAGTAGGATAGGGAGTTCGCGTCGTTTGAATATAACTCATTTCCAGTCCCCTGCCGCTCTCACCCGTCTCTTCAAGACGCCTAATAATCTTCCTACGCGACTGCTCGCGAAAGGAACATTTTCTTAAAGGAGCATTCAAGGCGCGCCTTGATGACGGCTATAGGTGGATATTATAGTAGCGGGGCTTACCCTCTTGGTGGTTTGCTACTTCCAGGAGGGAATAAGATGAGTAAAGGAGGAGCAAAACTCGTGGGGTACGAGGGTTTTGAAGCGAGAAGACACGACAAAAGAGAGGGAAAACGGAAGGGGAAGGGGGAACCAGGAGAGGATGCACGGGATGACAGCAGGGTGAAACGGGGCAAGGGAGAGGGGGCCAGAGGCGTGCATCCATCCATATCCATCCCGGGGTGGCTACTGGGACTTTGATTACTTGTTTTAATCTTCCGACTGCCGACTGGGCGAGCATCTGTCACTCAAAATCCGTAATTGCGCGCGGAGCCACCCCTTCGCCGGTCCAGCGCCAGGATTTTGCCTCTCCTCCTCCCTTCCCCCTCCCTCTTTTTCTCTTTCTCTCTTTGTCTTTCTGTGTATTGCTATTACTTTCTTATTGGTCGTTTAGCACTTTCGTTCAACCGCGAACGACCGCCGATCGCACAGACTGCGCTTTGGTAATCACAACGCTGCTCAGCAACTTGCAATCAGCTGGGATTTAAAGCCGGGCATTCCGTTTTTGTAAGGCGTCTTTTAGTCGAGCAACCCTCGTAATGCATAGGTAGCGATAAAAGTACTTGATATTTTTTTTTTCCAGGGAATAGTTTGTGTAGATTTACAGCATTCCTACGATTCTACGTTCGATTTATTCTTAAACGCATGCAATATATATTTTTTTAGAATTTGTATTGTATAGAAGAAAATGTGAAGCGTGTAATTAGACACAACACAAAACAAACAAATTTACTTTATGACAAGATAAATACTTTTATTTTTATTTTTGCTTATTCAGTCTACTTAAGAGACTTATGTTGAGAGAAACGGTTTGAAAGATAAGAAAGAAAATACATCGCTAGCTCTCATATGTAATTTAAATGCAAGCAAGCAGTTACATACATACACTTCTACACCTATTTAATACACGTATTTGTATTAATTGGTGAGAGTGAGTATTAAACGAACAAACCCCTAGCGTGTCTGTCCCCGACAATCTATCACCTTGTGTATATAATACACGCCACCACGCTGGTTGCTCATCAATTTGATGAAAAGATATTTCCTACACGCTATTGCGTTATGCAAATGCTTTAATTGTAGGAAATTCTATAAGCACAAAAGTCAATTATATCTGACCGTACTAACGTTAACCCTTAACTACACTATAATGAGATGGAATTAAATAGGAGAATTCATCTCTGATATTATTTGAAGTATATCGCACAATTTTTATTCTCGCTTGTATAATTTTTATTAAGATCTGATAAACTTTCTTTATTTCAAATTTATAAAATTTATTGATTTATTTAGAAACGTTAAGATCGAAATTTATATAATTTAATACCTTACATTTTTATAAAATATTCCTTAGAAAAATTTTATTTTTTTTTAGAATTTATTTTAGTATTTGTTTTATATTTTTAAAATTTTCTAGAGATTTATGGCTCTTTATATCGCGTTTATTCCATTCACTTACTCATGCTCCTCAGGGTTAACTGAGATTGATGCGGCCTCTATTACGTTCTCGGATAATATCGTTGCAGATGTATGATCGCGTAATCTCGACGATCCCGATTATTGTAAGCGAGAAATAAGACGCAGGTCGTGCAGCGCGCGATCTCTCGATAGGATTTCTGCTGCTCTTGCTTTTCTAATTGTCGGAGTCATTCGTCCTCTTCAAAAGGAACAGATGCACCAGGCTGTATTGAAGGACGACTCTATCAGAGATCCAGGGGGGGTCCCGGTGCTCGTCTCTTGGGGTTATTTTCAGTCGATTATCCCCAGAACGTCGGGGTCAACGTTGTGCTTTAGAAAGCGAAAGCGCAAGAGAGCAGACGAGTCTATTAGCGCAGAGAAAGGCGCATTTGCGTACGTCAGTTTTTTAGAGAATTAATTTGAGTATTGAAGAAATATTATATATAAGGGCAGGCTGTGCTCCAACTCTTTCATATTTTCTTTTGTGTTTTCGATATATGTTTTTTGACAGCTTTTGTAAAATTGTATAATATATTGTAGATAATATTACATAAATTAGATATGTGATAGTGAAAAAAAATTAAGAAAAGATTAAAGCAATATTTATAAATATATAGATAAATACTTTAATAGAAAAAAACATTGGAATTTAATTACATGTTTATGATGAAGATCTTGATGCGTGTTCGAGGATCATCATTAACCGCTGTGTTATAATGTTTCAGATAGTACGTCGTTTTAGAATATTCAAAAGGCTGCTACTTCAATTAAGAGACTCGGTTTAACACGAAAGTACTGCATGCGCGCGGTGGAGGGGAAGCAGTTGTATCTTATCTCTCACATTTAATCATCATCGGGCTGGTCCCAACCCCGACGACACTCCTAAGCTTCAGTAATTACTTAGATGGACGCTTCGAAATCTTTGGCGGATCTGTAACGTGAAACAAACGCCCGATGATTCCAACGATTATATTTAAACTCTTCCTCAGCGCTACGGGATCCCACGAGAATAAATAATAAATTTTAAATTCGCAGTATTCAGAGGTAAGTAAATCATTGCTTTTAGAATATATATGCAAAAATAATTATAGTTATTATTAAATTTTTAATTTACATGATTTTTAAATGAAATATGTATTACTTTTGATCCACTTAGACTTCTTGTTATTTTAGAAACCTTATGATAAATATAATTATTTTTACATGTTTTAGTCATACTTTTACATAATATTTAGTACTAAGAGAAAAGAAATTAAAATTATTAATTGGACTTTTATGTGAACTATTAAGTTATTCGGTAAATTAATTTTTTTTTATTCGGAGATGATAAAATTAGCTAAAATTAATTATTTTTTACTTCATCATATTAATTCCATTTTTTTAAATATTTAGCAGAACACATATGTTTAAAGTCTATTAATATTGAAAAAAAGAAATAAATTATAACATTCTTTTTTGTTACATTTTTATCGCGGGAAATGAGAGAATAAAATGTTTAAATAAAGAAAGCACAGTTCAAACTGAGATAATTGTCGTAACATGAGCAATTAGTTAACGATTGACGCGAATGGAAGTGCCGTTCGATGAGAAAGCGGTTGATCGAGAGGTAGACTGATAGATAAGTAGGCAGGGATATCTGTCTATTAGCTCTCCACCCTGATAACGGAGTTGCTGCTGATCCTCCTCCGGTCCCCGGGCGAGTGCTTCGTTAATTAATCTGGCAGCAACGGACTCGGCAGCTCAAAGGCACCCTTTTTCGCCCAGATTCATCCATCCATTTACCGATGGACCTGTATCCGCGAGTGTACAGACGTTTTCTTTCTCATTCTTTCTCCAGATATCTCTCTCGTTTTCGAGATAAAAATGATAGAGAAATTAAACGATCATAACTCGTATAATTCAAGCTTGGCAAGCATAATGAGATGATACAAAGATGAAGTGAAAATCGAGTTGCCACAATAATTTTGAGATAATTTTTTTCATTCTTTTAATCTGATCAAATTAATTTTTTTGTAGAAACTTTAGTTATAAATTAACAAAAAGATTGAAAAAAATGTTAGTAAATATTTTTTTAAATTTTTTGTTAATTTATAACTAATGTTTTTGTACCTATACACACTTATCTAAGAAAATAATCAGCGACATGGAGCTTATAGATCACAAAATTTGTTCGAACAGCTGATTGTTATCTGCTTATTCATACTTGTATTCTCTATTATGAGTAGTAATATGATCAGTTATAATAATTAATTATTGTAATATGAGCATTATGGGCTTTGTGTATACGATAGAAGCAGATGGACATGCATTGTGCATTGCAGATATTATGTGCTTGTTAGGATGTTAGGCATTTATCTTAATAATTACTGTGTTTCTCAAATATTTGTGCTATGATACGGAATTATTACATTTAAATGTAACTTTATGCGCGCAAAAAAATATGAATATTTGCATAAATATATTAAATAGATTTGAATTTGGAATTAATTTCCGTTTCGGAATGATTATTACTTTTTTATAAGTTAAATATATATCTCGTAAAAATAATTAAATACTTTCAAATTTACAATTAAAATAATTTATAATTTAAATATTTTATTTCTAAATACTTAGATTTTATTTTTAAATATTTAGATTATCAAATCATCATTGCTAATCATTTTTTTTACCGACTTAATTTTTTTATACATAATTTTTTACTGATTTAATTTTTTTATACATATTTTTTTTAAGTTTGCGGCACAAAATAGCCAAATTTGAAGAAAATTGTTTATTTCGAAGATCTATCTGAAGTAAATTTTGCTATGAAATCATGCAAGATGCAAAAGTAGATATGGGAATAAGCAAATTATTAATTATAATATTAAATGAGTAGATGAAGAGAATATCTTTAGCTACTTGAAACGATTTACGTAATTAAGTCGTATTCAGAATACGGACGATAACCGGCGGAAATCACGCTCGCCACAATTTGCATTTCCGATAAACGCAAGAGTGGGCACATCGCGAAGTCGAATTCAGCATCAGGAAATCCGATGCTTGAACAGGTCTGGAGAGAGATAAAAAGGGGCAAGAGAGGAGGGTGGCTGTACCCACCATGCTCGCGCTGCCAGATCGAATTGCTTTTCCAGCGGACGGTCGCGAGATATCGAATGCGCGTGAATGTACGAATACTTCGTATATATACTACCTACCTATTTATACATGTATGTGTGTGTACGTAAGGGTATATGTAAGCGTAACGTTAACGTTACGGGCGAAGAGACTGAACCGCGCGATGCGTGTAGGGCGCGGCGCGCACCGGCATAAAAGAGCAAGCGAAAAAGGGAGCCTCTTTTTAATCTAGCGACGATTCGCAACCCCCGGCTCCTTTTATAGTTACGTGCTTAGTGCTTATACCCATTGACTCTCCTCTCTCTCTCCCTCTTTCCCTCTCTCTCTCTCTCTCTTTCTCTCCCTTTCTCCTTTTCTTTCGCCCTCTTTGTCGCCGCGTCAGACCCCGTATTCTCTACCCCGAGACGAATTCTATCGTCGGCCTCGGAAACTACTTCGACAACCTCGAATGCGGACGTTGAAAACCGCGCGTGTGTTCAACTTTAACGCTAGAATACCATAATAAACATGACGATCAATGTTAGCGATTCAATCATCATTTTTTGAAGGTATGCTGACTTTTTTTCCCGCAACGAGAATGTATATTTTGCATATTATGTATTTACAGCGCAATTTGAATTCGTACAAAGAAAGAAAAAATTTCTATAACATAACTCTAATAAGATATTGATCTCTAAGGAGCTTGATATCAAGACATCGCACATTTGGCATAAAGAATGCGGTGAAAAAAATAAACAAAAATAAAATAAAACATAAGATCGCGAGGGACGATTAGAGATACATGGGCAAAAGTTTCTTTTCCAACATGGATACATTTTACAGAGTATCATAAATATTAATATAACCCTCGGAGGAAGTCCCACTGGAGTACAAGACGTAATTTGACATTGGTTTTCCTGTTACTGCATGTGTATAAAAATGTTGCGCTAAAAAATCTATCACAGTAAATTCTAAGATCTGCGGAAACGAAAACAAATCGCGATTTTCCCGAAATGCATAATTTTTGTTGAATTTCTTATCGAAATAAAATGTGATCTTTATTATTATTATTATTATTATACACACACACACATAAATATATATTTTTATAATTGAAATATTTAATATAGAAAAATCTTATCACATATAAAAGTATTCAAAAAGAAGCAATCAAAATAATCGCAAATTTACAAAAATAATAAATTTATTTACATATTTCTATTTACGGGGTAAAATAAATTACGGAGAAAAATTAAAGATTGATAGGGGAACAAAGGGTATCTTATCGAGATCTCACAACTGCAATTTCGCTGCATTCTCCGGGGATTAGTAGTGCGATAATAATCGAGAGCTCGATGCATTTATTCATTTCTATGTTTATCGGTTCCTTTTACGGAAGATGGTGTATATATGTGTGCGTGTGTATGCGTGCGGTTAACGAGTTACAGATCGCGGACGCCGGTTCTTCGGGGTGTGGCTTATGCTATCGTGTGTTTTGTCGTGCATGCCCGCGGCATCAACGATAGATTCTTCCAAAAAATTATTCCATTAGAGTAATTATCCGGCCTCGAGTCTTCTTTACGGGCAGGTAATAACGGTCACGAAACGATCGCGGGGGCGATAATGGGGCGCGATAAATCGACCGTACACTCACCCTCTTACTCCAAGAGAGTCATCTGCGGTGGTCATTGTTTCGTGTCGCTACAGCTGTCACAAAGTCATCGCCGCGTTATCCCCGTGCACGGTAATTAACTCGATTAGTCGATCGACGAGGTTGCGAGCAAATTAAACGACCTTCTGCGGTAGACGCGACAATTAATTTCTTATCAATCCGCATCTCTCTCATTGAGATAATTTAGGTTTACGCACATCTTCAGGATAGTACATTATAAGGTTTCTGTAATATCGATAATTTACAAAGACACGTTTGGAATTATTTTCTTCACCGATTTAAACAATCGATTCAAACATATCGATGTAATTCGTTAAAGTTAACTTTCTCCAAACTATAAATTCGAAATAATTTGAACGAAATAATTTTTATCTCTATTCTTATTAGATTTTAAGATGAAGAAGCTGTTTGTACTTGAAAGAGATCATCAACATTGATATCAATCATCAAAGTTATTATAAAAGTTATTATAAAAGTTATTATAAAAGATCTTGGATAAACTTTCAACTAATGTAATATTTCTTTTCTGTAAAAAAAATGAGTTTTTACTGCTATTTTACTGTTATTAATCAGAGGCAATCGCGATGTAAGAACACGAAAAAAACTCATCTGTTCCGGCAAATTTTCTGAATTCATTGACGTAATATGATCGTCACTTATGGACCCTTAAAAGGACGCGAGTTCCAAGTCTGTTGTCATCCCCTTACGTGTTAAATTACTTTGGGACACGATACGATAGGAAAAGAAGAGAGAGAGAGAGAGAGAGAGAGAGAGAAGGGGTGGGGGGGAGGCGTGGTGGGGCGAGAGGACTGCAACTCGATTCCGGATTGTCGGCGACAATGAGCTGGTAAACTTTCAATCCTCGACAAACACGATTTCGATATGCTTTTAAAAACCAGAAAATCTCTCTTCAAAAGGGAGTAACACGATGAGGGTCAAGCTAATCGGCGCACATACGTCACTTTTATAAAAAATACAGCTTTAGATAATAAGATTCAAAAGACAAATTGGGAAATATCGGAGAATTTTTTAAAAATCATAGTTAAGTTATTTCAAATTGTTTTTAAATACGCGAGTGTGACAATTACTATTTTCTTTTTGTCAATATTTATAATATTTCTAATTTTAATATGCTAAATTTTTTAAATTTGATTTTATCCCGTTTACATATATATATATATATATATATATATATATATATATATATATATTTGTTTAACATATTAATACACTTGTTAAATAATTATTTTATTTTAATATATTTTTTCTATAATTTTTTATATTTCTATATTTTTTTCTATATGATCTGTTATTATTTTCCCGTATTGTCCTTAACTTATCTTATTTTTATATTAATCTTATTATTTTTAATTTATTACAATCCTCCTTAATTTATTACGATTTTACACATGAAAATTATTATTAATTATTAAGAATGCTCTATAATAGCTTTGTAGCTATAAAATTTTAATCGAATTTATTTAAAAAAATGAGCCATGTTGCTCATCAATCATTAAACACTATGCTGATTGAATGTGTGTGATAAAAATTTCTTATTATTTCGTAATCAATGCTCAGTACTTTGAAAAATTAAGTAATAATAGATTTAATAATTGATTTCTGAATTTTATATATATATATATATGTATATATATATATATATATCCTTCTCTTTGTCTGCGCACAATTTCGATATGTTTCTATAACGAGACGTTCGTTTCCCTTTTTTTGTATTACAGCACGACGCGCGGATATACGTATGTATAGTTTTTTGCTATCGGCTCTCCGTTTACGAACAACAAAAGGTCTTGTGAAAATGTTTGTGGATAGTTTCCCTGCCGAAATATATTTTTGTGTACGGTCGTCTTCGTGCGCAGCCATTAGATTTGACGCAATCTTGGAAATGGATCAGATTTACACAATGCAACAAACTTTGAAAATCTCGTTACTTAAAGCAGTTTTTGTTGCCCTTTTTCAATCTTAATGTGATACATCATATATTTTTACATAGAAACAAAATATTTTGTTTACGTAAAAATAAGATATAACAACAGTTTCTCTTTTTAATTGCACTTAAAAGCAGCGTTAACAAAGTAAAATTTTTGTTTCTAAAAAGAAATTAATTTTTAATAAATTTGTATTTTTCTATGTTTTAAAGGGAATTTGTCACTTTTAATGCATATCTATGAATACTATAAGTAATAATCCTAGGAATACGACATATTTTATAATTTCTAGGATATTTATTGAATATCTAAATGCCACGCAATATGTATTCAGTTATTCAATATCCAAGAGATATCAATGAATATCTCCCAAATATTCACTTCCTATAGATGTACAATGTAAACACAATCATGTACGTAGAACTCACATGTAAAACCATCGCGTATACCGTACACAGGAACAGATATAACGCGAGGCTAGACAATATCCTCGATACTAACAATTCCCTCTGGTCCATGAAAGATTACTGCGGGTATTGCGAGCAGGACATTTAGAAGAAGAAGAAGAAGTCGATAAAGCTGTAAATATGCCGTGCGAGAGATAAAAAGGTAGACAAAAAGAGAAAGATAGAGAGAAAAAGAGAGAGAGAATTCATAAACGAAAGGTAGATCAGAGAAATCGGAGCAGCAAAGAGACGAAGGTGTGATGGCGCGAGAGCGTTGATTGAAGTGCACGTACTTACGCGCGTGTACTTACTCGGATACGTTGTCACCGCATACGGATGTGCAACGGATGCGGAATGTAGGCGATGCAGGTGCATTGTCGTCACTTCTCCCTCGTGGTCGCTGCCAGTTTTGCCGTTTCGACGTGCGACGTGCGTGAATGCGCGTATGCATGCGTCAAATGCGTGCTGGAACGCTTGATGCTCCACTCTTGTCAAGAGTGGAGCGCGTGAAAAACCACACACATACACTTGTAATTATTATACTACATTTTTGATTATGCAATAATATCTCATAAGCCACAGATATCTAAAGAATATGTTTGCGTCTTTTACATCTAAATTTTTAATTAATGTAAATTTTCTGCAATATCCAAGTCTTTGAATGTAATACGTTGAAAAAGGTTTATAAAGGTCTGTCGTTATTTGTGTAAAAGGATAAAAAATGAAAAATGATGTTATATGCATGAAACGCCTATGTATTGCGAGAAAATTAAATATTTATTAGATAATAATATAAAAAATCTGTGTCATGCATCGAGATTTTGTTTTTAATTTCTGATTATTCCATTTCAAACTAATGATTCTAAAATTAAAGTCTTTTGAATGTTTAATTATTTTTCCTTAAATTATTTTACAAATTATTATTCATAGTTTATTGATTTACTGCTCCAAGAAAAGGCATTTTACACGTTGATTTTAGATTAATGATTGTCTCTTTTACACGAATTGAATGATTAGACTGTCTGATATAAATTCCGATAGAAAAGATTTAAAAATTCTTACTTTAAATTTCGAAAGAGAATCTATTATGCCATATTTTCTCTCTTTATATTTATCTGTGAAAAGTTTAGAAACTTATAATGTAAAAGAAATATAATGTAAAAATTCTTTTTCAATGACAATCTTTTTTTGTTCACTTTTTTTTGTTTATCCATATTACGTGATCGTGTTCAATGTAGACAGCATAGGCATGTAAATATGGATATCAATGGGTTTGATTAACCGATGCACTGTTTGATTTGTTCGCGACTCCATCAAAGAATCGCCCGTCGATTTTATTTTGAAAACGGAACGTTGCATTTTTGTTCTGTGTCAATTTGTTTAGTTATGACACGACCCCTTATAAAAAGCCGCGCAACACAATTAATTTTAACTCGGGATTAATTTGGACTCGGGATTTTTGTGTGAGTACCGCCGATGCGTTCCATTGTTCCATTACTATCCTTTTGCGGGCACCATAGCAAAAATGCAATTTAAGCAATATTCGTATTTTTTATTCGAACCTATATCGAATATAGGCGAATGTCGATTTTACTTTGCAAATGAGATCCAACGATCGCGGCTAGCTGTTCAATATCGATCCTGAGTAAAGGAAATACGAACGACGTGCATTGTATGGTTCAACGATCATTATTTAGCGATTACGAAAACGATCGGCTGTACAATAATTTGAGATCCCGGATCACAAATATCCGTATAAAACACGGTATGGCGAATCTTCTTTTTAATTGACGTCTATAGATAGGTGATATACAATATGAGAGAGGCGGTATTTCGTAACTCTACTGTTCTGTTTAATAAAATTATTCGTTTAGATACTTATCACAACATGTGGAATATATCGTAGGAACCCTGCCTGTGTCTTAATGTGTGTATTTGTATGTGTGTGTGTGCGTGTGAGTGTGGTGTGTGTGATGTGTGTACATATATGTATGAGAGTGTGTCCATATGTCCAATTTTACAACCACAGCGAGAATCCCATCATACATCATACATTTATACATCAGGTATTGGAACCAATGTAATTTTAGCGAGTTCAAATTTCTGCAGACACGCAAAAACAATCTCCGTGTTTATTACGCGACAATGGAAACACAATGCACACACTTTTACAATATTTCTCTTTTCCTTATTGAAAATTGAACTCACCGAAGTTGCACCGACACTCTAATCCCTGGATTACATTAATGCAGCTTCCGCTCACGGGCTCGTAACGTCTCCCTCGGCGCTCAAAATTACGTAAACGCGAATTACATTTTGCGCAAAGACTATTTACAGGGGAAACAATTGGAGAAACGATTCGATAACAATTAAAATATCGGGTGTCGCACAATCGCGCGCGGGACGGTTTGAAAATTTCATTCTCGCATCCGCGCGAATTGTTTCTCTCATCGGCACAAGTCGCTCTATCGCTCTATTATTATTCCTATTATTATTTCTGCAAAGATTCCAAATATCAAGTGAATCGCAAGTAAAGTTTAATTCCCGTCTTCGGTATATCGTGAAATTTTTCGCATCGCGCGTGCGGTACACAAATAAATTGGAAGCGACAACTTGTAGGACGCGATATTATTGCATCAGCGACAAAGGAGACCGGAAGGGAAACCATACGAGATCGCGGCCAACTTTCGTCGCCCGTGGCTCAAGGAAGGGAGTTTAAAATCATTATAATCACAGTTCAATTCTCAGCACAATTGCGCGGACTAGCATAATATCTCTGGCACTCGGTGTAGAAGGCATAAGTCGAAATGTCTTATTTTTCCAGAGAGAAAGAAATTTAACTAGCTACTATAAAACGCGAAATATCATCCAATAATAATTAAATGTAATTATCAATATAATTTCTGCGATAATACGATAATAGCGCAATGCATTATCAATTTAGTACATCTTTTATATAATTCAAGGTAAACGAAATTGTGTATATTGCGACTTAAAACCTCTTTATCAAGCACCAAAAATAATTTTATCAAATAATTTGCAAAATATTATATACTTTTCTAGATAACAATAGAGATATGAATAGACATGTGAATAGAGATATAAGTATAAGCTCATGTTTAGAAAATGTAGAGTTTCAACTTATTAACATTTTATTTATTGCGATGAAATGATACAGAAAGAGAATAAAATAATCATCATCAGGTATACATAATATACTCCTGGAAATTAACGTATAATTTTTTTTCACTTTTTTTTAAAAACTGATATTTAAATTTTAAAGAAAGAGTGGAAAAGAAACGATGCGTTAATTTTATCCAGGAGAGTAGAGAGTACAATTTCAGCATTAAATTTTACATAACTTAGTCTTCTTATGTAATTTGTATAAAGACTCTACATTCCCCGCTTATACTCACATTTATCCACATCGCCCATAGTCCGTATTAGAAAACCATTCGAGTTCCATCGCTCTCGATTACCGCCGAGGGGACAGCTGTGTCGCGGGCTCGGTTTTAAAGAATGTTGCGGACCATCGCGAGGCCCGTATCGCGCGTATTTTACTCGTCCACGTCGATCAGCCTGATGGCGCGACCCAGACACGAAGTCGTCGTCATCGCGTCATTGACGGGGATCATCTCGTTCAGCGCCGTCGTCTCCCGCAGCAGATGCACGCTACCCTCGTAAGTCGGACGGTGTTATTGCGAGGACGTCCGCGGTGGTTGGCCGTTGGGCGGCGGCGGGGGTGGGGGTGGCGGTTGCGGGTGCACCTGGTGGGACAGGAGACTGTGCGCCTGCACGTGGGCCGCCGCCGGATGGTGATGGTGGTGCTGATGGTGATGGGAATAGAAGATGGGCTGCGCCGTGGTGGGCGCGCACGAGGTGCCGACGCCGACGCCGACGCCGACGCCGACGCCGACGCCCACGCCGACGCCGACCGAATGCGACAAGGCGGAGGTCGCGCCGACCGACGACGGCGCCGGCGGACCCGGGGGTCCTGGCGCCGTCACCGATACGGAAACGCCGGATGTGGCGGTGCCGGCTGATGCCTCGTGATAAAGAATCGGCACCCTGACCAGCCTCTGAGTGGCGTGCGCCATATTCGCGGCCTCAAGTTCAGCGGCCAGCTGCCGCTTCCACTTGTTCCGCCGATTTTGGAACCAGATCTTCACCTGGGTCTCGGTGAGCCTGAGAGAAGCGGCGAGACCGGCTCGCTCCGAGGACGAGAGATAGCGCTTCAGGTCGAACGTGCTCTCCAACTGGAACACTTGCGACCTGGAGAATACTGTCCTCGTCTTCTTCTTGCGCTTTATGCTATTCGACTCGCGACCGTCCACGCCGACTTGCACGTTGTTCTGGCCGCTATTATTGTTGCCACCGCCACCGCCGCCGCCGCCGCCACCCCCGCCCGCCGAGGTACCGTGAAGGCTCGTCGAGGTGGATTCGCCTTCGCCGTCGGCGTCTGCACAATCGTCCGCTTCGCCGAGATCATCGTGAACCTCGTCGCCGCTCGACGGACTCCTAGCACGGTGCAAACGATCGTCGCCGTTATCGTCGTCGAGCTCGTCTGCGCAAAAAAATATACGCGTCTTGAGTTCCATTACTGCACTGTACTTTCTCCGTTTATTTGTAATAAATCCGCGCGATCCGCGTATTTACCTCGCTATTACAATTAATTATATGCAAGACTCACATTATGTATTGATCGTATATAATCAAATCGTTAATGAGAGAAAGGTAAATGCGTTAATCGCCCTTCTTTTTAAATATGATCTGCATGCGTCAATCAATCTGAGAGCGCTTTGGATTTACAAATTCTCTCACGCGGACTCCGATAAATCGCTATTATACAATTTCTCTATCCGTATTGAATATTTAATCAATTAATAGAATGCTAATTAATATTCTATTAATCCATTTTGACATAATTGTTGCGTATTGAATTGCGTGTGTAAACGCAGATACATCATTCGATGACGTTATTTGTGCGACGTACGTATATTTGTATAAAATACCGCCGCCGCGTCTCCTTTTAAAGTACATGGCGATAGAAAAGGAACGCGTAACAATTTTATTCATTCCCTCTGTAAATATTTTCTTTTCTACATTTATGTTTTTTAATTGGCATGCAATATTTCACGAGATAAATCGAATATTTCAGCAATTTTTTCCAGAAAATTTCTGCTATGGAAATTATTCGGTAATTAAATTTTTCTAAAACATTGCAATAATTGTTTTAATAGGATATATATTTTCGCAATAATATAAAATATAAAATGTAAAATATAAAATATAAATATAACGACATTTGAAAATATTGTGATCAGAGATAAATGATCATTTTGTTATTAATAATAGTGTCATTAATATGCGTAGGATGATTTTAATTCCTTCTCTTTATAAATAATCGTTGTAGCGTAGATAAAAAAGTCAGCGGAAACGAAACTAAATACGATTCTTTTTTATAATCAATAATTTGATATTTGTTGGGCGAAATATATAATTAAACGAAACATATTTTTAAAAATACATGTTTTTCAGTTTTTCATTAAGTGAATATCATTACTATTATTATTGAAACAATATCTATCGAAACAAAATCTCTTGATTTCCTTTACATACACATATGTCCTTAAGTATTTTATTGTCTTTATTTTTTTGTACTTTTTATATTTAAATTATATTATTTATATATTTATTAATTTTTAATTTTTAAATTAGATATCCTTTAGGATCTAATTTAATAAAAATAGATAAATATAATTTAAATATAATATGTAATCTCTGGAAAATTAAAATAACTAAAAATTATTACTATCGTAAGCAAGAATTTAACATTATATGCGACATGGATATATCAAGAGTCCAGTAAACGATCGTAGATGTGTTTGTAGGTGCGGATAGTAACTATCTATAAGTACTTAGACAAGGTGGCAGAAGCGAAACGATAAGGCGATCGACGTTGGTTTGTCGTGGTGGAAGCCGTGGAAGCCTTACGCATATTTGTATACGCGAAGAGATATACAGATAGATATACGCGTACTCGTTTCCATACAACGCATGTAGACAATATATCTGTATATCTATGAGAGGTCTCGCGTTAACCCTCGTTTCTTTTCACCTTCTCTTTACGACTTTACATCCGTGAATTATGGCATGTAGTCTTTAAAAGCTCGAGTCGTGTGAATATGTTTTAATCTCCCTTTTAAATAATGATAATTTAATCAGATTTTTAAATATTAAACACACATTTTATTATGCATGAAAATATTAAATATGAAATACTTTGCATCTTCATATCTCTATCTTTAATCAAGGTTTCGAGAGAAGGAACATGTTTCAGTACAATGTAAACTTTTCCTTCGACTGTACTTCCTCTTGGATTATCCTAAATAAGCCGTCTCGATCTGCTCGCAGGTACGCAAGGATAGAAGGAAACTGGGACTTACCTCGCTGAGGGAAAGACGCGGAGGCGGGACTGACGCGGCTGAGGGTGCCGACCACGTCGCTCGGCGAGGGATGCTCGAGGGTTTGCAGACTGTGCGTCGGCCTCCAGGGAAACGGCCAGCCGGCGCCGCCGAGCAGAACGCCGCGGATACCGTCGGCGTCGACGATGTCCGGAGATTGGCCGGCGACCTGCACCGCGTTACTGAGAGCGGACGATGCCGCGGCGGCCAGCCGCGAATGGTGCTGATGCTGCTGCTGCTGATGCTGATGGAGATGCTGCAGCGTCGACGGGTAGAACAGGCCGCCGATGCCGACCGGGTATCGGCTCGCTATCAATCTACGACAAGATGACGCATGCGATGTTTTACTGGTACATAGGACTGTATAGAGAGATCTATCGGCTGACTGAAGAGAGATCTATCTAGTGATTGAGAGAGTTAATGGGACACGAGGTTCTCTTCGTAATAAAGGTACGTGAAGATTTAAACTAGGTTTTAGTTGTCTTATTCGGATATAGATTTTTCAACGAATGAGATGTGTCTAGTTGATCAGGTTTGATTTTCTTTTTAAATTAAGATGCTGATCGTAGATAGCTTTGTCGTTACAAAAGCAGTTGAAAGCAAGAAAATATCTTTTAGATGTATTTCTTGGCTCTAATTAAATAAACAAACGTTCTTATTCATTTAAATATGCAAGGAGACTTCATTTTCTCAGCATTTTAATTTGAAGAAGTCTTTCTGTTATTGAGGCACTTAATGTTGGATATTAAAAATTCTTTAATAAATGAAAAATCAACTAACATTTAAATCGGGATTTTGGTACATAGTCTACATAGTTGTTTTTAGATTATAATGTAACCACTAATTGCAAAGATTTAAATCATGCCATGTTTAATTTAACGTAACATTCGTGTTATTATATGAGATTATATATTTTAACATGACACGAACGCCAAAAGTAAGATTATGTAATTTCAGAATTGACTTTGATATTAGATAACTTGCAAAATCTGTGACTTTAAATTCCACACCAATGTTTAATACATGATTATACAAAAGAATAATTAACTGCTACGAACATCGCATACGAATTTCGACTTTACTTTCGAAAAATCACGAATACAATTATCGCGATAATTCGAACATGCTCTTGTTATATACGTGGATAAGTATAGCCGGCGGCCATGACTACTTCGGATTTACTCAATCACTCGGGAGAAAGCAAAGCTTTCCACTGTCGGAATATTTGGAAACGGTGTTTGCGCCGCAACAATGGCCAGACGTGCTACGGATAAACGCTCGACTGGCTATTAAGAGCAAAAATCCGCTTAGAGCAAGAAGCTCTCGAAAAGATCGTCGCTGTTAATCGGAAGGTATTACCTGCATCGTGGGCCCTTCGAGCGGCGAGTCTAATGGTGGGATCTTATGCGCGCGGAAAAGATCTTAATTAAAATGGTCCCTTTAATCATAAAAATAGTTTCCATGTACTAGTCTCGAAAAATGTATATTCTATTTCGATAATATGATACGATAAAGCTATGAAACATTTCCTGAAATTTTGCAATTCGTGGCGCGATGGTCAAAGCCTCTAGATTATTTATCAGATCACTGGATCTTCACAGCCAGTTGTTCTTCTGCCAGCTGTTAAATTTGCTCGCTGAGAAACTCTCGTTTTTCCCCGATCGTTACTTCCGATTGCGGCTAAGTGGTCATTGTTGCAACTATACACGCCGGAAACTTAATGCGAGCAACACCGATTTGCGGCGACGATTCGGATAGAAATATAGGCAGGCAGGCAAGATCGCCGGCAGGCAGGTTGGTTAGGCATGTGGGCCGAGGAGGCTTCGGAAGCCCTAGCACTTCCCTATATTCCTCTTCCTCGCTTCCCCGGCAGTCCGTCTGCGACGAGCGATCTGATCTCGTTTCGATACGCGTCTCGCAAAAGCGTATTTGACATTGCGAGCACTTTGCATCTAGTGTCGCTTATAGCCAACGATATAGGTCCTGTTCTTACAGTAATAGATAGGTCAAACAATTTGTTCGCTAGGGCGGTGCTAGTTTAATTGTCCGCGATTGATTAAATTTATTTCGCTAATTCATTTTGGAAGCTCTTTAGCGATATTCTTCATTTGTCTTGAACAATGTAATATTTTTTTCTTAATTTTTATAAAGTGGTATTGACATCGCGAGAACTTTGTATCTAGTGTCGCTTAGCCAACGATATAGGTCCTGTTCTTACAGTAATAGATAGATTAAACAATTTGTTCGCTAGGGCGGTGCTAGTTTAATTGTCCGCGATTGATTAAATTTATTTCGCTAATTCATTTTGGAAGCTCTTTAGCGATATTCTTCGTTTGTCTTGAACAATGTAATATTTTTTTCTTAATTTTTATAAAGTGGTATTGACATCGCGAGAACTTTGTATCTAGTGTCGCTTAGCCAACGATATAAGTCCTGTTTCTAAAGTAATAGATAGATTAAACAATTTGATCGCTAGAGCGGTACTAGCTTAATTGTCCGCGATTGATGAAATTGATTTCGCTAATTCATTTTGGAAGTTCTTTAGCGATATTCTTCACTTTTCTTGAAACAATTTAATATTTTTTCTTAACTTTTATAAAGCGATATTAATCTCCTAAGATTGCATAATTCAAGAATCTTATAATTTGATATCAGAAAACGTCTTTGTACTATTTAAATTCCGAAAAAGTATTATTGCTTTTTTTCTTGTTATTTCGAAATGCTCTTGAGCCAATTAAAATTACAATAATGCATTCGCGGTTTTTTTGTTAAGAGAAATATTTAATGAATTTTTCTTCATTTTTGATAAATTGATTGAACATCTCTTTTTCAGCTTCTTGTCTGAATAAATTAGCAATACTTCTATGATTTGATATCTGTTCAATAAAATTCACACATCAATTGTTTATCATCGAGATGAGGGTGTTACTCCGAGTGATAAATATAGTAATAATAACAATGAGATTGGCTGGGATCGAAGCGAAGAGAAGGAATTAAGAGAAATTCTTTCTTAGAGAATTCTTGAGCGACACGCGATCTTCGGCACCTCTTTCTTATTTCCTCCCCCGATTTCCTCGGCATCGAAACGAGATATCGAGGTCCTCGAGAGGGCTTCGCATGGCTAACGGGAGAGGAGAGACGATGGTCCGGGACACACAAATGCCGCGTAAAAGATAAAGGAAATCTGACAACCGCCTGTTTGTAAGCATTCAGGGACCCTTCTCTGAAGGAGCAGGTATAAACACCAAACACTCGGCTTTCTCTCGGTGAAGAGATCCTCCACCTTTTACTGTCTAATTCCGCAGAACTTATATCCTGAACGGCCACGAGCACTCGGCGGCTAGTCGGTTTACAAGTTCTTTTTCCATAGGTAGGTACTTAAGGCATTTTTCAGCGATACCTCTCTCGAATGAGCTCTCTCTATCCAGGCCATCGAGCATGCATTTGACTTGCACGTCTTGCTTCTGATTTCCATTCTTCTCCTGTCGATGATCTCTCGAGTGTAACAATTGTATTCGCGCGTCTATATTTAATTCCTAACTAATAATATTTATTTCCCCCTTATGTAATCTGTTAGCTTTGTAATAATATCTTTTAGTAAGTTCGTTTTTAAATAATTTTAACAATGATTTTTTATCACATTTGTAAGTTAAAGAAAAATCTCAAAAGAGAAATAATCTTTTCATATATTATTTTTTTTTTCTTTTAGATATAATATAATTTTAAATATATAATATATTATAATATAATCGTTTAGATGTAATATACTTTGGTAATAAAACTACTTTCCATACGAAAGTAAAAGTTACTTAATGAATTAAAGAATACATTTTTATTTATTTTATATTATTTTTTATATGAAATCATCAATTTTATGTTTAAAGTTTTAACAATTAAAATACTTACTTTTAAAATTATTTACCGAGAAAAATTTCAAAGATATATCAAGAGAGAAAAAATGCATGTTTATAATTCAACATATCATTAATCGATATTATTAATTTATTTGTAATTTGATGTTGAACAAATCTGTTTAACATTTTTGCATCGGCACTACTTTTTTTTTTTAATCTGTATATATTTTTAATACGAGCAATGCGCTTTTATTGAAAATTTCCGTTAAAGTTTACCCTCCGTGTCTTTAATAACATGTTATACCGCTTGCTTGTATTGATTATTATTCTGCTTCTGCTTGCGTTCAATGAGTAAGTGCCATTCTCAAATATAAACTCTTTATGCCGTTAACGATCGCTCGTAACACGATACGTTTCATCGTGTATCGTTACACTAGGGATAGTTAAGAGCGAAGAAAGAGAAGTCGATCGCGTTCACTAGCGAAAGTGCGCCTAAAGCGGTTTGCAATCTGTATGCTTAACATGCGATCATTATTCTATTGAGAAAAAGGAATAAAAACAAAGAAATAGCAGAAAAAGTAGATTATTGGGATATTAACGAGAATAAAGTAAAGAGAAAAGAAATAGACGAATGATAATTTATATTTAGTACTAACTTTTGGATAATACTAAAAAATAAATTCTACTTATGCATTCATTTTTAATTTAATTTTCTTTCGTTTATACATATGATTGCATGTCAAAATCTATGTCCAGTGTCTTATGAAGCGCCATCGGGATGACCCAACAACAATTTATTGGCTTTCAAAGTGTTCGATTAAATCTGCTAGTTAGCTTCATTTTAATTTGTAATGGATGAAACAGAAAATTTGCTTTCATCTTTACCAGAGGTAATTTTAACTTGTAATGCATATTCTAGAGGAAACTTTATTATCAGAATTATCCTAACATAAATTCTTTGTCAAAGAATTATTTTGCAGAGAAATAATATTAGACATTATAAGGATGCAAATTACGGTGAAGACTGATTTATCGAAGGCCGGGATGAAATTATATATTTTCGATTCGTTATACGTTATGCTATACATTTCGCGTCTTTTTGTACAATTTTTTAATCGAGAGACCATTTTGCGGGCGAATCAGTGTCGGATGAAACGCAGAGAATTGTATCTCACTGCAATTACGATCCGTGGTCCGCCGCCGTCGCTCATCCCGCATTTGTTCCCAACGTCGAAACATCCATATCGCTCGCGAATAGGCGCTCATACACAATAGGCTTTATCGTATCTTCCTTTGAAACTTGTAGCGCGATTCCACCCTAATTAACGAATCATTCATCAGCGCTGTAATTAACGAGGCAGTCTCTGTCGCGGATTATCAGACGGATCCTTTCGTTCGCGGCAGTATCGTGCCCGCGGTAACGTTTCTGAATATAAGCTTTCGCAAAATCGCGACGAGCAAAAAATATTTTCGCGATACTCCCATACTCGAATCAATGGCTTTTGCGAGCCGCACGAACGAAACGCAGGAATTGGAAACGCGACAAAATGCGAATGCGTGTGTTATTAATTCGTTTATTTTTACGCATGATGGGCAAATTTAATTTTCTAGATATATAATAGTTTGATTAAAACACGAAGACGCCCATCTTTTAAATTCCCACAATTTTTTGGGGGGGTCAACTCGAATCTTTTAAAATGTGCAGCGTCTGTGTACGTGTCAATCCTCAAGCACATTTCTTCGGCTCAAGTCGCACTTGAAGGAGTCGGAGGTTCCCGGAGATGCGATTGTTACGATTTTATAAAGCGTGCATCTGTATATATCGGGCGTATCTCTCTCTTCCACGAGTAAATCCGCGCGCGTACTTATTCCTGCGGAGAAATATTATTATTTGATCAGTCATAAGTAGTAGGAGGCTGCCGAGATCGCATGGCGTCTCACTCGTCTCTCCACGACCTTGGCGAGCGAGAATCTCAGAGGCTGGCGTAGAGCGGCGATTTAATAATAAATCGGGTTTAGAACTTGCGCGCTTCCTCCCGGAAGAGAGACGTAAGGGCTGTTGGCTTTTCAGCTAAATGGGCCGCGAGATAGGTGCCTGTTTCTCGAGGGAATCTTAGGCTCCTTAACCTTGGACTATACGTGTACGGTGTTTCATCCGCATCCATTATGCACTCAACGCCTAATTGATTTTTTACTGCCCCTCTTGAGGGGGATATCCTATCGGTATCTCGACGCGCGTGACGGGAATTACAGGGAATTTCGTTGGCAGTAGCTGGCAACGTTAATTAGCGTGCTTGCGAAATATGCTCCGGATATACGCATACATTGTCCGTACGTGTATATGTACGTACGCGGTATATTGCACGATCATCGCGAAATTCTACGCCGCTGCGCAAATTTTTCGAATTTTGTCGAATTGTATTTAAACGCGCAAATGGATCCCAAATAGGATATATATATAGTAATTTTATGGCGTGGTGCGATTATCATGAGCGAAAATTATTAACGCGTTTCTTTTGCCCTTTGTTAGGCAATCGTAGAAAAATCTGCATCACTATATCCATTTTGTATTAAGTTGCATTTGCGGGTGCACTTTTATCGGAATAAGAAAGAAGTTGATTATATTTCTCAGGATGTGGCATTATATCGTCAATGTAAGCATCGCTTTTACAATTAGTTTACCTAATTAAAAAAATTAATACTTGATAATTTTTATTATATATACACTTTATGAATTTTATAAATTTAAATATTTCTATAAATTCTTGTAGACCTGATAAAGATAAGGATATAATTTGCGAGGATTTTGCTGATCATAAGGATCGTCAATGTAAGCATCGCTTTTACAATTAGTTTACCTAATTAAAAAAATTAATACTTGATAATTTTTATTATATATGGATATTATATAAGGATATATAATTTGCGAGGATTTTGCTGATCATAAGGATGCTGTTTATAATCTGGTGTGGGTGCCAAAATCTCGTTCTTCGGCAAGAATAAAATTTGCTATATGCCTTGGACGAAAATCTGTTTAAGTTTACCATTTATCAGTCGCGGTAAGTTTGTTTGCGCGAAGGGTTCCATTCGACGAGGCTTTTCTCGTTGACTGAAGTGTGCCCCAACGGTGCATACGAGTGGAACTTAATCAACTGGTAAGCGGGTGGAAAACAAGCAATAACGTAGCGCTGTCGCGGCGGTAGCCAAGCATGGCGAGGACGTGGAGAAAGGGCGACGAGAGCGAAGGTAAAGGGAGGGAGAGAGGAAGAGGGGAAAGACGGGCCGTCAATCGGGAGGGGGTGTAAATCTGATAAAATCATCTCGAACCCTCGGGTCTCTCTTGCCCCTTTGCGGCGCACAGTGCCGCGCTCGGATTCCTCGTAGATATATCCGATAGCAGCGCGGGGGCCCTCCTAAGTAACGTAAGTAATGTAAGAGGGTGGGTTGCTACGGTTGTTATTAAATGAGACAGCCTAATAGGCCCATTACGGACCCCTTCTCGGTCCATTCCCACATAATATAATCCTCACCGCACGCGCCCACTCGTTGTCCCTTAATGTCTCGCCACCCCCTCAATATGTCGTGTATCTTGATCTGGAGTGAGCTCACGCCTACGAAAATCTTTGGTCCAAATGACTCGCGCGAAAACTGTCCCCCGGATACATCCCCTTCTATCCGTGATCCAGGTCGACGTGCGCGGATATTGCTACGGAACAGGATGTCCCGCGTTAACCGAGTCAAAATATTTCAAGCTTCTCCCGGATGAATCTAGGAAGTTGAGCTTTCTTTCCGCGAAAATGTCGAACAAGGGTGCTCATTATTAATTGCAGCTTAATAATTTTCAATTTTGAACTTCTTAAGCAACTAAGTAACCAAGTCTTAATAAACTTCTTGTTAAAACAAGGATGATGCGGAATCAATTAAAAAGGAAATTTTGTTATTACTTCTAGAATATTAACTCGTACAGTATTAAAACATAATAGTGTATTTATTAAGTATCTTTATATAATTAAAGAAAATTAAGTTTAAATTGATCAAAACTGAAAGAAAGGGAGAGAATGGTAATTTTCGAACATCTTACATAGATATATCTCCTTCGGTCAATTTCGAAAATACAACAATTATTTCATATGGCACAAATTAAAGTTTCCTAGACATTTATTAAACAAGTATTGTACACGTTTATAATTTAGTTAGTGCAGTTTGTTATTCCTAGTGCAAAAGAAAGAGAGAGAGAGAGAGAGAATATTCCGTGCATTTGCACACATGTGCGTGTAAAATTATGTCAACAACAATGATAAGCAATGGATATTAATCCATCGCGATGGTATTGTCGAATCTCTCGGGTGTCAAAGTTTCACGAATGTGTATTTTTATCGTTAAAACATTAGCGCGCGGTGGAGTTTCTAATTGCCTGGGAGAGAGAAGAGAAGGGCGCGGTCTTAATTTATTCAACAATTCTGCCAATTACGCGAGCGGCGAATATGAATAACGACGTTGTTGCGAATTAATTAATCATTAGTAAGTATTAGCAACTCCATTTGCTGACACTTTTGCATTAATATTAAATGGTGCCGGCCATTGAATTAGCCTTTAAACGATAGCATTTAATTGTTGAATTATGCGGAAATGCATTTGTTTTATTTCCATTTAATTTTTTTATCATTAAAAAATTAAAAAGTCTCTTAGAGATATGTTTTACAAGCTGCACGTTATAAATAATAAACTATCGACGTGCGCTCGTGCGTGTTTTACTCGGCTGACAGACATATCGTTCTACGCGAAATGAATGACGATCGCCAATCAGTACAAAGGTTCGAATTTCGGCCAGTTATTTCGACGCCATCCAATAAAACCGAAGGTCACATTGCCGCATCAACTGAGTTTAATATAAAGGTATTGTGTATGTTATACGCGCAAATAAATGACACGCTCGCGATACACGTGTTTGCAACGTTGGAAAGTGCTCTCGCTGTGTTAGTAAAAAGCATTATTATAAAAACGTTGTTATGCATGCCTTTTTGCAAAACGCAACGTTTGCTTTTCATAGAAATGAAGAATAAAAACGCCGTTCGCGCTAGAATAACGCAAAGCTTCTTCGGCTAATCGTTTTTAAGACTGAATTTAGAAACAGAGCTTCACATTCACGGTTTCCCTGCCTTTATATCACACGACATATAAAGTTGTTGCAGATTTTGACCTTTCTTCAGGATTTAAACTTAAAATAAAGAGAACAGCTGATCGTTTTCGAAATAGCTCCTCTCAATATTTTCAACAATCAATTAAAAATTAATTAGAATTGGACAAAATCAAGAAGATTGTAAAAAAGAAAGAGAGTTTGTTACGAAATGCACTTTCAATGGAACTTAAACGAGACAAAAATATCTATCAAACTAAACTAATGTTAAAAATTAAAGCGGAAAAGAGACATGTATGCAATTTTTTTTTATTATGGAAAACAGACTTTAAAAAAACCTACATTCTCGAGTGAAAGTGCATGACATCCGTTACGTTACATATACCAACTATGTATCTTACTTTTCAGAACGAGACATGTAAAATTCATTGACGCATCACCTAACCCTTGTATTCAGCTTAAGAACATCTTTCTGTCATATGTAAATAATGTAGAACCAACAGTCGTGTTGTGTCAGCTCTTTATTTTCATAGACGTTACGTAATTTCAGGCAGAGTTATGCTACGACAAACCTATTTTTGCAGTAGATAAGTGCATTTAATGATCTACAAAAATTATGGCAATTTTTGAAAATGTGATTGATAACAATATCGATATTATTGTTTATCGTTTTCATTTATTCGCGATGTGTTTAAAGTAATAGTAAACTATTTACAAGATATTTTTCATATGACATGAAGATAAGAATCGTATCAATTAAATAATAAAATTTTAACAGCTGTTCTTTTTATACTATTTACTTAAGCCATCGAGACTTTATCCTTCAAGAGTTTTCATTTATCTACGAATCTATCGAATCAAATCGTCTCATCAAATCTCCAAGAACTAGAGACACATCATCTATGCGATTTTGCAATCTCGTGTATGAGAAGTGATCCGTGCGAAAAGATTAATTCATCCTGGTTGTCTAAGAAAATTCGCAAAGACGGGAAATCGAGTCCAAGGCCACGTACCTCGATAGCATCGCGAGGTCCGCTGACGTTTGGTGTCCCAGCAGCGGATTGGCGGAAGCGTCGCCGGGCGGCGAGAAGGTCGCGGTCGGGCTGGTAGCACATCCGATACCGATACTCGCGGAATTCGCTCTGGCTTCCAGGCCGGTGTGGCCGGTCGCAGGGATCCCGCGCTGACCGCCGGACAACCTCAGGGACGTTGGCGAGGACGAGACTCTGCCGGGGCTGCCGCAGGACGGTGGAACCCTCTGCGAGTTTTGCGAGTTCGCCGGCGCCAGCGGGGACGTTCGGTCGACGTCCGACGACTGTCTCTCCCCGGAACCCGTGGACGTTGTCGAATCGACGGGCGGCGATTCCGGTCTGCCGAGGATGCTGGAGATGCTAAAGGACGTGTACTGGGGATTGCAGGCAGGCCTGAGCGCCGGTTTGCTGACCGAGTCGAAGCTAAACGAGTGGTGGTGATTGTTCAAGCCGCAGCCGGACTTGCCGTTCTTCTCCTGCAACAGCAGCTCCGCCGGCGTGGAGCTGCTCCTGGAGCCCTCGAGCTCTAGATCCTCCTCCGACACGACCGACACCTCGATCTCCGTCTCGCCGGACATCCTACGTTCCTGGCCACCCGGGGAGACCTCCTGCTGCGGCAGCTCTTCCGCGGCTAGCTCAGCTAGCCCGACACGATTGTTTGAGCCAACTTCCGTTCCTCGCAGCCGCGCGTCCTTCTTCCTCTTCTCGACGTTTTTCGGAGCAAGTGGCCGACCGGTCGACGGAAGTTAAGCGGAATCCGTCTCGCGCGGCCCGTCCTCGGTGGAGGATCGCATATCAGGATGACACACACACACGCACACACACACACAGGTACGTACAGCGCGTTGATCGTGACTCAGATGACGAGGTTCGTCAGTGGCAGATGATGCGCGGCCGTCGCCAGGACGTGCGTCTCGCGCGTCGTCGTGGATCGCAGACGGATCGCTCGATCGCGCGACATTCGTAAGCGATACCCTGGACGACAGGATGATAGGAGACAAGACACTTGGAGGGTCCACCCTTCGTCCTCTCCCCCTATCGTCCTTCCGCCACCTATCGCACCCCCTCTCTCTATCTTCAGCACTCTCTCTCTCTCTTTTGCTCTCTCCTTCTTCACCACCACCCCTGTCGGCTCCAGCCTGATAACTTCTCCTCTCCTTTTCTCCTTCCGCTCTCTTTCGTCTCTCGTGCGCGCAAAGCGTTTCTCGCGCTTGCAACACCAGGCCAAGGTGCGCTATCGATGCCGTCACTTTCCTCGAGTCACTTCCACTGATCGTCGGGCACTCGTCACAAACGTTGCGTGGCCGTCATATCGCGGGAAGAGTCATCGTCGCACGTTCGTCCCCCATCCGGTCCAACGAAACGCGACGTTCGCGGAGGAAGAGCTTACGCGTACGTCGGATCGCTCGGACGGCGTCGGTTTCGCGTCGCAAAAAAAATCACGGGATCCGCGAGCGAAGCGCGACGCGATGACACGTTCGCGTCGGAATTTCGACTCGCGCGACGTAACGTTAGAGCGTCGGCGCGCGCTGACAATATTTCGGCCGTGCTAGAGAGAGAGAGCAGTGCGCACCCTCGTGTCCCGCGATACGCTTCGCGGCGCAGAGTGACGAGCCGCGGCGGACAGGAGCCCTGCGTGCTCGCTATTAAGGGTAGGAAAACGCCGGAGAAACCGCAGGTCACACGGATGAGGAGAGGCTCGCTCTCGCGCACACATACACACGTGCAACGCATACACACTCGCGTGTCCGTTTGCGAGAGGGTAGGAGAAACACGGCGGGGGGGGGGGGGAGAGCGCGACGACGAGGAGGAGGAGGAGGAGGAGGGAGAACGGTGGCGACGGAAAGTAAGATAGAGAGAAAGAGCGCTTCGGAGTCACGCTTCGAGAGTCACGGGGTAGTTATTGCGCGCCGCGCGATAGCTAGACTGGTTGGGGTGAGCGTCGTTTGTTGGAACGGGGCGAGTGGATAAATTAGAGGGCGTCGGAGGGAGACGGAACGAGGGAACACGCTGGCGCGCGCGGTGGGAACCGGGGGCGGGAGGGGGAGGTGGAGAAGAAGGCAGAGGGGGGTGACGAGCGAGAGCGGGCGCGGAGGACGGCTAAGCTGCAAGTTGTCGGAAGGGGTGTCGGGGCTGTTGGGGTAGGTAGGTAGGTGGCGGGGCGGAGCCTGCAGCTTGTCAGGGGTTGGTTTTGCGGACTCCTCATAGGATGGAGATGCGATCGATGACTCGGCTACCCGCCGGGGTAACCCTCGCCGCGGACCAATCGCGTCGGTCGCGCCGTCCTTAACTCGGAAGATACTCGCCCTCGACGTTTCGCGCTCGAAACGCGAACCCACGGCGACGGGGTGGTTATACGCGAGACGACGGTGGGACGGGGGTGGGGGGATGAGGGGGAAGGTGGGATACGACGACGTGGGGGTAACACACAACCCGGTGGCGGTGGCCGTGCCACGCCGTGTTACTTATCCATTATAACACTCCAAGATCTTGATTTAAGCCTGCAGCCAGTGGTGAGCTTTTAACCAATTAGCCTTTATAGCCTACCCTTCCGCCCTCCCGCTTTCCGCCAACCCCTCTCCTTGCCGCCTTTCTAGCTCGCCTCGTCGAGTCTCTTCCTACCCGTGGCCGCCGTTGGTGTATCTACACTTATACCAACGTCCTCGTCCACAACCGCACGATATACCCACCTAATCTACCGGCTCTCTTCATCCTTGCTCGTCCCTCCCCCTCTCTTCTCTCTCTCTCTCTCTCTCTCTCTCTCTCTTTTCTTTGCTCTCTTATTTGGATCTTCTCTTTCTCTTTCTGAGAATCTCTATTACCTTCTTTGTGTCTTATGTATCTATATGCGCATCGGTGTGTTAACGCGTTGCATTCGCGCGTACAAGTATATTAAACGCATCCGTTGAAAGAGGATATCGGACGTTCGTCCAGGTAAATTAAGAGTACTCCTGCGGGGGCTTAAATACTTATCAAGGCGACGCAAATTAAGGGTAGATCACGCGGACGACTCGGGCCGCGACATGCGATCGTTCTCTCCTCGTTTGCTTTCCTAGCGGGCGACGCGTCAGGTTTATCGATTGGAGGACGCTTCCTCGGACTCTCGAGCTGCATCCGTGAAATAATAATAATCGCCATATTCCGCTTGTAGATCGCGGATTGATTATTTATTGCCTTCAGTTTCCTGAAATATGTTCAAAATAATATCCGAACACACGCAATTATTATAACGATTAATTTATCAATAAAACATTCTTTTTGGAAGAATGTAATTAAGGAGAATTGAAAATATAGCGTAATGTTGTTGAATCGAGACAAATTTGAATTTGAAGTATTTTTTTTTGTTTTTCATCAATTTCTTCTTTTTTATTAATAATGTATTTTTTAAATATCTTTAATAATATTTTACATATGTTGATAAAAAAATATATCTTTGATGTAAAATAACTTGTAATACCATAATTAGATTTTCTTAGAAACTTTGATTAAGAAGAGTTCGATATTTGCCGAAAATCAGTCTCTGTATGAATTAATTAGCCAAACTTGGAGCATTGGGGGAATAATTAAAATAATATACCATCCAATTCCTAAAGAGCGATAATTCTCAAACGGGATATTTTTCCCGACAATCACACCTTAATGCGTTACATCTCTTAATCCGTCCTATCAGGTTCGTCTTTCTGTAATCCACGGAGCTAATTAGAGGAAACGTTATTTAATCCCATTTAAGTTCAACCGGTTCGATGTCGCCGATAAACCGCGTCTGAAAAAAGCAGCCCTTTCCTCCGCGGCTGAGATAATTAATACGCGGGCATAAACAAGATGTACCGTTATAAAAACGCAAAGAGGCAGAGCGCTGCTAACGGCAACGTTCCAAGTCGGGCGGATGCAAATGAGCGGCGCGCACGCCACGATAGCCACACCTCGCGGGATTCGCACGGAAAGCCGCAAAGCGGCAACCCGACCGCTCGCAGGTTCAAATAGCCAATAGTTCGGTCTTTGCTTGCGGGGGCGAAAGGATAGAAGGGGATAAAAATTGTTACACGTCTGCGAGGGAAAATAAAGAAATAATTGCGAACGTCGGCGTCGTCAGTAGTGCGTTTTGCAAAATGCGATAAGCTGCGACAGACTCTCTGTATGAGCGTGTTTACTTTTTTTTTGTACTTTATACAGTACACTTTCACCATTCCTTCTCTTTCTCTCTCTTTCTTTTTTATAGATTCTATTAATATGCAACGTGAATCTTGAAAAAAATTAAAAATTTGTTGAGATAAATTGAAAAAAATCTTTTAATAATAAATATATTATGTATTAGAATAAATAAATATAAAAAAACTGGAAAAATACGATAAAATGTTATTGCATTTTGAAACGTGAGTGTAAATATATTTAGAATATTTATGTGCTTTATATTCTTACATTAATTTTCCAAAATATTCTACATTAATATGTCGATATGTAATGACAAGCAATTCAAGAAAATTGTTGGTAAACATCTCTCGTGAATCTGCTAAAAAGTCAAATATTAATACATTAATATAAAGTATGATTTTCGTATCGATATTGTACGATCATTTACGTTACATCTAATAGAATTTAATATAAATGTATATATCGCTGGCTTCGCACATTAATCGGTATATATTTCTATGCGTGTACTCGATTCACGTTATGACGGATGGTCATATTCCATTCACAATACAATTATGATTCGGTTAAATATCCTTTAATGCGTTTGAATAGCGCTATACACTTGTGACCACGTTCAAGTCACGATACGATTCCACGTTATGGTAATTTTTTAAAAACACTGTACATCGCATACATATGTTTACCATTATTACTTATAAATTTTAATATTATATTTTATGAAATTTATCAACGTGTGATCAATCAATGATGTAAAAAATATATAACAATCCAAAAGTAATTTAATACAACTAATATTAACAATGTGTAGAATGACATAATAATTTTTTTAAATATATATAAAATATTTTTTTATGGATATATATAAAAATATTATATATAAATTTTTTTGTATAAATATATAAAGCATGATGTGTGCATCTTGTCATAAATAAATCATCAAATAAATGTCTAACGATAATATTCGTATTTTTAAAAAAATTTATATTTATATAATATTTTGAACAAAAGTCATTGATTTTGCATTAACGAAAAGTATATAATTATAAGTACGTAGAAAAAGCGAACAGTTTGCCGTGTTTCTGGATTTTTAATTTTCATTTTGCAGACAAAGTAATCTGCAATACCGCCTCGAATAGTCGAATAGCCTATCGGAAATAGAAAAACGCATTATGAGAAGAGTATTAGACCGTTCAAAGTGCACTGCGCTTTGGAGAATCGGACTCTCACCCAATGTATCCTAAATGCACAGGCGACCGAATGTTTTGGAATATGCGAGTCGATAGTCGCAATCGTTGCGAATAGTGAAATCCTATTATCGCGCATATCGTTATATACGGTATTCTGCGTGAATTCGTAGAAAATTTTTCTTTTGGACCAACTGCACGATTCAGAATTTTACTATAAAAATGGTTCTTATGTATAAAACGCATTTAAAATTCAAATATTTAGAAATTCTCGATGTGTAAGGGAGTCGAACATTTAAGATCTCCAGCAAAATACTATCAAAAATTAAAAGGTAAAAGATTTTTAAAGATTATTATTTAATATTTTTAAAAAATTATTACATAGATTTTACTATTTTAAATTATATTTAAAAAAATAAAGAAAAATACACAGAGAAGCGTATTGTTAATTAATATAAAAGGAAATATTAGAGGGAAATTAATTTATATTAAAGGGAAATCTTAGTCATATATTTAATTTTATGAATAATGAAGATGTTTCCATTTAATATCAATGGAAGATGATTATTAAAAAAAAGCGTTATAATAAATACATATGTATCTCGAGAAAAGATTACAAAAAGACGTGAGCCAATGACGAGTCGCTATAACGAGGTTATATCGAGAGCTTTCTCAAAGAGCGAGCGGCTCATGTTTCAGAAGCGGTTGGAAGGAGGGATGGGGACAGAGGGTTCGGGGGTTGGTGCTGGCGATTGAAGTTTCGAGATTCGGTTCAAATTGGCAGCCGCTTAAGAGATTTCGCGGACGGGCGGGTGTAGAGGCTGTGCATAATGCGACCGGAGGTTTCCTGGCGCGTCGATTTCTCGTCGGCACCTCTCCTCTATGTATCCCCTACGTAGAGGTCCCCCCCCTTCCTCGTTCCGTCTTCCTTACTTTTACGTTTCGTCGTTCTCGTTTTCTTTTTTCTCCCTCCTCTTTCTCATTCGTGCCGATGCGTAATACTAGAGACGGTGTACGGTCGAGTGCGTCGCTTGTGCCGCCTGTATTTTACTTTGTGCCTGGTGCGTAAGAGGATTATGTCCTCTTTCTTTTCTTCTCTCGCGAGAGGGGGAGGGTGCTGTCTTCGTTCTGTCATTCTCTCTCTTTTTCTTTTTTTCCCTCTCCTGGGACACGAGATCGGATAATTGGAGAGAAAGAGAGAGTGACGGGACGAAGCAAAGCGGTGGAGGGGCGGAGGGTGAAAGAGAGGTAAGTGGTGGGTATGCTTCACTTTTCACAGGGGCGCCTTTGTTCCCTATTATCCGATGTGATTAGTCGATGATGCAGGTAAGCTACCGCGGGGGGTCCCCATTATACTTCTGACCGAACCACTCTCTCGCGAGCCGCGCGAGCCCCGACGTAGAATTGCGACCAGTCCTGCTACCGGTAGAGAC